TTCGTGGCCTCAGGGACCAGCTGCTGACACCCCTCCCGCTGCTGAGGGTCTCCGGTTCCCATTCCCTGGTGTCCGTGCAGGTGGGGCTGGCAGAGGATGCGGGCGTGATGGATGGCGGACTCAACGCCAGCCGACAGAACCCGTGTCCCTCAGAGCTGCGTTAAAAATAAAAACAGCCTCTCCATGAGCCCGAGCTGGGAGCATGAGGCCAACAGCGGCAGGTGGGAGGGGCAGGGATGGCAGACAGCGGCCACTGGGGCCAGGGGTGGCCTCTACCAAAGACAGTAGTGATGGTGAGGGGTGCAGCTCCCCGGGGGCCCTGGCCGGAGTTCCCCCACCAAGCTGTTGGGAGTAAGGGGAACTTCATTTAGAAGCAGGTGGGCAGCGGGGCGAATGGAGAGGCCCTGCCTCCAGATGGCGGGTGCCAGGGAGGACATGCAGGGGAAGGAAGAGTCTGTCCCGGTCCGTTATTGGTTTCCTTGAAAGAGGAAACATCCTGCACAGGTGCTGCGGGTCTGAGCCGCACTGTCCGTAGACTAGCAGACAGGCAGCTTCTGTGTAGGGAGCCCCACATTCTGGGCACAGGGGCTGGGGGAGCACTGCATCCCGATTCAGGAGACCCCCGATGCTCACACTGAAGCCCTGCAGACCGGCACCCCGCCAGGTCCCTGTGGCCCCTTTCCCCGGGTGAGTGGGGGGACGGGGTCATTCCGAACAAAAGGGAACTTTCTGGAGTCTTTCAGGACTGAGGACGCAGCATTGAAAAGAAGCACTGGGGTGGGGGTGGGGGCGTCCCCTAGCCGTGCTGGGAAGGGGTGCTTGGCCGTCCAGCCAGCCGGGCTGTCAACACTCCCTTCACCCTCCGACTTCCCCGCCCCGAGCACACGCCCAGGGCAGCATGAATGTCCATTGTCTCCCACCCACTAGTGCTTAAGGAAATAGGCGTTGCCCCCGGAGATGGGCAGCCATGTCCCCAGGCGCTCCCAGCGTCTGAGTCTTGCCACCCTGCCAGTCAGTGCCCGGACTTGTTGCCCGCTCTCAGCTCTCACCCCTGACGTGTCCTCCTGGCCACTTCCTGCCCCAGAATCTGAGAGGATAAATATGCAAGTGATGGCAGGGCTGACCCACTTATTAGCAGATGCCACAGCCCCGGGGCACAGCGGCTGAGGCTGAGAGAACAGAGACAGCGCAGGGACAAGGGACTCGTCCTTGAGAAGGCGGCGCTGCGAGAAGTCCCCTTCACTGTCCAGGAGCTGGGGGGGGAGGATGGAGGGAGGAGGGTTGGAGATGGCAAATCCATCAGGCACCAGAAGGTTGTGCAGACCCAACTCCCGCCCCCAGACTCTGTCCTTGGCAGCCCCTGCAAACGTCAAGCATCAAACATGAAAGACAAAGGAACAGATGCGTGTACCCCCTTCTCTCCAAGCGTCCCCAGCCCTAGTCTAGGACTGTGCTGTATGTGCCGGAAAGCCCCACCCACACCAGAGAGCCACGCCCCATGCCCGAGAAGCCCCGCCCACACCAGAGAGCCACGCCCATACCTGATAGTCACATCCCCCTCTGTTTCTCCTCCATACAGTGGAATGGCTGATGGACTACTTAACAGGTAGCAGGGACAACGGACCAGGGAAGGAGCAGGTTGCAAGCATCTGGGTTACCCACACAGATACCCTAAGAGGAAGGGCCCTTTCCAGCTTGGCATGGCCCCCCTGCACCCTTCCCCTGCACCTCACCTTACCCAACCATCCCGCAGGGTGACCTGTTTTGTCCTAGGCAGCCCACGAGGTCCCTTCCACTCAGCATCGCCTGCTTGTGAGTGAGCATCCAGTCTCCAGACAGGGTGCATGGTCATGCCTGCTGGACCATGGAAAAGGGGGCACCAGGCTCCTGAGAAGGGTGATGAGGAGCTCTGGGGGAGTCCCACTGCCTACCCCCCAAGCTCCAGCACCCTCAGTCGGCTTTTGCGGGGGAACCTTCCATTTGGCCAGGGGCCTCCACTGCTCCTGTCAATGACACAAATGCCAAACACCATCCATCCCCTGCCACGGAGTCCTGAGAGGTGCCCCATCCCCAAAGTGAGGTCCTGCTGAGTGAGAGTGTGGGACTCAGCCATGCGCCCAGCAGAACCTTCTGGGTGTGATGCTGGCAGGCAGGCATGGAGTGCTAAGACCCAGCCCACAGACAGACGGCAGATCCCCAGGTAGGTTCCTGGGCCCCCCCCCCCCCCGGGGACCCCGTGCTCGTGAGGAAGGAGAGGGACAGTCTGGGGATCAGGGGCATTGGGTGTCCTGGTGAAGAGGGGCATTGTGGGTGCAGTGAGGAGGAGGGAGGAATTTTCCATTCCTTAATGCCAAACACAGTAACAAGTCTCACAATGGAGCCGTTACTGGGCCCACTTGAGCAAATCGATGAACAATGGGAGGACAAGACAAGACAGGAAAGTCACAGACTTGGGGCTGGAGCAATAGCACAGTGGGTGGGGCGTTTGCCTTGCACGGGCTGACCCAGGGTTTGATTCCCAGCATCCCATATGGTCCCCCAAGCACCGCCAGGAGTAATTCCTGAGTGCAGAGCCAGGAGTAACCCCTGAGCACCGCTGGGTGTGACCCAAAAAGAAAAAGAAAAAAAAAGGTCACATATTGGGGGTGGGGAGCTGTTGGCTTGGGAGGGACCCCAAAGCCCCACAGGACTGATCAGGCTCAGGCAGGCACCTCCCTGGAGGACTCACCCACCCAGGGAGACTGGGGGTGGGGGGACAGTTCCAAGTGTGCTTTCTTAAAGCCCCCAAATGAGCCGTCTGGGCCCGCCCCATCCAGAACATGCTTCCTGGGGGACCAAGGGCAGGGGGCAGGCAGCGGGCGGAAGGCACCTTTGAGTAGCACCTGTTATTCCCGGCTTGGCTTTGCAGTTTGGAGAAGTTAGGCCAGCAACTGGCTTTGAAGTCGCTTGAGGAAGAAACGCAGGGGGAGCTGGGGCCATAGTACAGTGCGGAGGGCGCTGGCCTTCCACGTGGCTGACTCGGGTTTGATCCCCTGAAGCCTGTAGGGTCCCCAAGCACCACCTGAGCAACGCTGGCTGTGTCCCACCCTCCAGAGAGAAAATGAGATGCAGTGGGGACTCCTGGCAGGGATGGACGCAGACAACTTGTGGGGGGGGAGGGGCAGGGAGAGGACCCTTCCAGTCCACGATCTGCACAGGCCTCTGAGAAGGCAGCCTGGGGGAGAGGTGTCCACACCAGTGGGGGCACCCTGGGTGAAGGACAGATTCCCACATCCTTGCCAAGCCCCTCCAGAGCATCGAGAGGGGAGCACCCTGAGTCGGGGGGCCAGAGGGGTCTTTCTGCAAAGTTCTCAACTCTGGAGACACCCCCAAGTCCTCCTGCCTCGAGCTTCCCCAAGTCAGGGCCAAGAGCGCCCCAGACCCGACCCTGAAGCCCCAGCAGGAGATGGGGCGTGTGTGCACATGTGGGGTTAAGGGGTGGGGGTGTCAACACTCTCGAGAGAAAAAGGCCCGTTTCTGCGCCTCTGTCCGGCACCACGGCTGGGGGCTGGGGCTTTCACAGGAGATGTGCTGGCAATTAGTGTCATGAGTTATTCGCGCAATATCCGGGAGAGGCAGGCAGTAATTAATGCCGTCTGCACTCCTGAAGGATTCCTTCTGCTCAGGCAGAGAGCGAGCGAGCCCGGGAGGATGGGAGGCCTCCGCCACACGGGTCCACACGAACCGGGGAAGGAATACTTTAATAAGGCAATAATAACGCTGCTAAATAATTCACCAGGCAAGCACAGCGGCTCTGTTCCTGCACACCGGGTCTTGGGGTGGTGGGTGAATCCACTCCACATGGACGTTGGGACCTGCCTGCGGGGCGCAGGGTGGCACCTCTTGCCTTGGACAAGCTCCTGCATGGGGTCTCCCACCTCCCTGCCCTCCTCTCTGTGATCCTCAGTCCTCTGAGACCCCTCAGGGGGCCGACACTGAGGAGTCCCCCAGCTGTTGGGCCAATACAAAGGGACTGTCGGGTGTGGCCATGCCAGGCGTCCCACAGCTTGCCCTGCAGTTCCTACCCCTTATGCCACATGCAGATGGCACTAGGGGACAATCTCCCCCAAAGAGCCACCCCGTGGGGCGGAAGAGATAACACAGAGGGAAGGGCACCTGCCTTGCACGCAGTGACCTGAGTTTGATCCCTGGCATCCCACAGGTCCCCAGGCAATGCCAGGAGGGATTCCTGAGTACAGAGCCAGGAGTAAGTGTCGAGCATTGCTGGGTGTGGCCCCCAAACTAACCAACCAAAGAAAAGGGTCTGTCCAAGGCATAGTAGGTGGCACAAGAGCAGGAATAGAACACCCCAAAGTTCCCAGCAAGTGCAGGGGCACAAGCCCTTCCGTGGCCTGGAGTCCGGAAACCCTTGAGGAGGACTGAGGCGGGGGCTTATGGGGTGAATCAAGGCCCCAGGAAGCGTCAGCAGCCCTGGAGGTGATGGAATCCAGGCCTTTTCCTGGTGAAGCCGGGCTAGGGCGCAGCTGGCATGACCGGCCGTGACCCAGTCGAGCGGCCAACGCCCCCCCACCCCCGCAGGGTTCAGTTCCTCCACCCCTGAGTCAGACCAAGGCCACGTGCGGAACTGTGTCACCTGCCCACGGAGATCTGTGTCAGGCGGAGCGGCCGGAGAGGAAGCGGAGGGTATTAATAGACGCAGCAGCAGGGAAGGCAGGCAGGTTCGAGTCCCGGCCGCAAAACGGGCCGAGATAAATGACCCCTCTCCAGCTCCAGACCCGCGGGCCCGGGACCTGGAGTCGACTGCCCCGGTTGAGGAGGGAGGGAGCCACGACTCCTTATCCGCCCTGGTCCCTGGGCAGTGGGTGACATGGCTCCCTCTTCTACACCCTAGCACCCCAGGGCTGTTCGGCTGTTCGTGGCAGGGGGCATGGCGCCAGCCCCCAGTCAGGGAAAGCCCAAACCTGGATGTGCCCCGGAGCCCGCGGGGTGAGGACACTCACCAGGTAGATGCGGTAGGCGTCCACGCGGCGCAAGGGCCCCCAGCACGGGTCCGTGTCGTTGAACTTGGTGTCAGCCTCCACCCCACAGGAGTCATTGCCGGTGGCGCTGCCAAGATAGGACAGGTCAGGGGCCACCCGCAGGCGCCCCTCTTGCCCCCCCCCACCTTTTTAGAAAATTTCTTTTGGGGCCACACCCAGAGGTGCTCAGGGTGACTCCTGGCTCTGCACTTAGGAGTCACTCCTGGTGGTGCTCTGGGGACCCTGTGGGATGCCGGGGATGGAACCCAGGTGGGTCGTGTGTAAGGGCCGCCCCGCCGTGCTGTTGCTCCGGCCTCTGCTCCACTGAGCCCTGAGCCCCAAGTATCAACCTCTGCCTTCGAGGCCACTGGACGAGGTCCGGCTACTGGGGTCTCCCCCCCTGCTTGCTGGACAGCCCCAGGGGCTGCACCCTCAAGATGCTGGGACACGTACCAGGTGACCTGCATGAGTGAGGAGGGCACAGCGGCCGCATAGATGGCCAGGTCCCCGTACAGGTAGATGATGATGCAGAAGTAGAAAAGGTTGACGCCCACTGGAAGCAAAAGGGGCAGGTCAGACGGGGGTGTCGGAGGGGGCTTCCACAGGGGACCCCGGCATCTCTGCCTGGCCAGGGACTGCCAGTCCCCCTCCATCTCCGCTCTCCAGAGCCCTGCCCTCACTGCCACCCAGAGTCCATTTCCTGTTCAGGCTGCCCATGACTTCCGCCCGGGTGCCCGCCAGCTGCTGGGAGGAGAGTTGTGAAGGGCCGTCAGTGCAGATTCACCAGCAAGGAGGCCAGGAAACAGCCTCGGTTTCCAGAAAGCAAGCGTGTCCTTCTGAATTTGTCCACCACCAATGAGGGGAGGGGCCTGGGCTGCGCTGCCCCCCCTTCCTTCTCACCAAGAGGCCACTGCCATTTAGGTGCATGCGTGGGACACCCTCTGTCCCTCACCCTCCCAGGCCTGTGAATTCCCACCCGGGGCTGTGGGAAACTCAGAAACCAGCAGCTACCCCATATCCTGGGGGCTCCGGGGGTGTCACAACCTCGAACTCCCAGCAGACAGGTCACTCAGGCGGGCGGGCAGGAATTAAAAGAAGCCACTGCAGCCCCTCAAGAATGTGGTAGCTGGGCAGTGACTGCGGGGTCCCGGGGGATGCTATCTGAGGCCACTGTTCCTGGTAGTCTGGGGGACAGAGACAGGAACACGCGGCTCTGGGAAGGCAGCGGCCCTGGGATCCGCTTGCCACTCAAGCTGGCTCCTCCAGGCTGCCATGCCTGGCCCGGCTTCCTGCTCTGAGGCCAAGACTCGGCAGGAGCAGGTAGGCTGCTCCCTGTGGCCGCTTCCCGCCACCTGCCGGTCTACACTGGCCCTGGCTGCTCTGATCCACACGTTCCATTACTAGGTCCCCAGTGAAAGGGCCATGAGCTTCCCGGACACGGCATTTCTGAGGACCAGCCAGAGCCGGCCCTCCGAGGAGCCTACTGTGGTGGGTGGCAACCCTCAGAGGCCCAGCTGGGAATTAATCAATGGGGGGCAACTGTCCCCTGGCCGGGGACCCTTGGCAATTTGGATTGTGATGACTGGGAGACACTAATGGGGAGAGGAGGTGGGGGTGGGGTGGGGACGACAGCGGTGGCACTCAGCAGCCTGCAGTGCCCAGGACAGCGCCCCCCAGTGGGAGCAGGTGCTGCCCCGTGTCTGTGATGCCCCGTTGTAGGAGAGCTGGGGGAGGGCACGGGGCTTCCTCTAGGCTGTCATGTGAAGGAGCTTGTTTCCTGTGGGCTGGGGAACACTGGGAGCTGGGGACAGGGGCCAGACCACTCGTGGAGCCAGAGACAGAGTCCAGTGGGGAGGGTGTTTGCCTTGTATGCAGCCAATCTGGGGTTCGATGGCCCATGTAGTTCCCCCAAGCACCGCCCAGAGTGATTCCTGAGTGCAGAGCCAGGATTAACCCCAGAGCTTCCTCAGGTGTGGCCCAAATGCAAAGCAAACCACTCGTTCGTCATTCTGTCTTAGGGGGATTTTTATGGGGGCTGCACTCAGTGGAGCCTGGGGCTGACTCCTGGCTCCAAGCTCAGGGATCACTCCTGGCGGGGCTTGGAGGACCATATGGGGCGCCAGGGATCAAACCAAGGTCTGCCAAGCGCAAGCCAGTGCCCTCCCCGCTGAGCTCTAGCGCTCTCTCTCTCTCTCTCTCTCTCTCTCTCTCTCTCTCTCTCTCTTTCTCTCTCTCTCTCTCCAGCCTGAGTTCCTCATTCTTTAAGAAATCAGGGTGCCAAGAGCCATAGTCCAGTGGGGAGGGAGCTGGCCTTGCACACAGCTGACCCGGGTTGCTCAATCCCCGGCATCCCATAGGGATAAGGATGTAAGCCCTGACGACTGCTGGTGTCACTCCCAAACCCAAACCAAAAACAACAGCAACAAAAAAAAAGAAATCGGTGTGGGTTGTAAACCAGGGAAATTAGCTAGAGGAGGGTGCAGAAGTCTGTGTCCCCCAAAGTGTGGTAGAGAGAAGATTCTTGTTCTCTCACCTCAGGCAGAGAACAAGCACACAAGGGTGCCTGGACCCACCCCGCAACACACACAACAGCGCCTGGATGCCCCCCAGCCCCCCCATTCCTCCCACACAATGGGGCCTGGACCCTCCCACATACACAGACTCCCCCCAGAGACCCCCAGACACAGTGGGGCCTGGACCCCCTCACACAATGGGGCCTGGATTCTCCCCGCAGTGTGCTCTCACCAACCCCCGAAGCTCTCTGGGGAGCTGGGTCAGCAGAGGACAGAGCCTTCGTTTATGACGCCAAGACCCCCACAGTCCCCGAGCGCTGACCGTCCTAAGAGGTGGTCACAGGGATCCTGGCTGGCTCCATGCACCTCCACTCCAGTGAGTGCTGCCCCGTGGGCTGTAAGGGCCGGATGGGATAGAGAGGAGGGATACCCCCTACCTCCCAACCCCCGCAGCAGACAGAGGCTTTGCAGAGGGGCAGAGCTCCAGGGAACTGAAAACGCAGAGTCTTCTGCTGTTTCCCACTGGCCAAGGGCAGGACATTCAAAACTGAAACCCAGAGGGACAGGGGAAGAAGCAGCTGCCTCATGTCAGACCTGGGTCTGCGAGGCCTCTGGAGGGCCCTGAGCACCAGGGGGTGTCCCTGGTGGTCCCCAGTAGCCCGGGACCCAAGAAACACTGCTTCCTCGGACCCTGCCACTAACGCTGGCCCAGCTGGCAGAGTCCAGCCGTGAGTGGCCCCCAGGGCCCCTCAGAGCACACACCCTCCCTCCAAGCGCTTAGGTAGCCCAATTTCCAAAAGAACAAGAGTTGCCGAGACTTGCCCAGCGGCTGGGCTGGGGGAGGGAGGGGGCGGGATGTTTTCTGCCTGCCCCCCAGAGCCGGTCCCCCAGGGAGCTGCAGGAGCAGGACCTCACTGGGCCGGTGTGTGGGCTGTGGGCGCCCTCTGCTGGCCACACGAAAGGATCGCGCCAAGCAGGTGCCGTGCCTGCGCAGGCCAGAAGGGAGCCGTCACGCGGGAGGCACAGGACTGCCAGCCCCAGGCGAGAGGGAGGGCCAGGGGCGAAGCCGCCTGCCTTGCAAATGCCAGGACGTGGGTTTGATCCCTGGGGCCACCATAGGTGCCAGCTCTACTGTCTGTGACCCCTGGTTCCCTGAATGACTTTTGACCGCCCTCTGGGGCTGGGGGGTGTTGGACACCACAGGTGAAGCACCAAACCACGACTTCCGGCCAGTGTTGGAGCCCCCACCCAACGGACAACACCTGCAGTGTGCACCCCAAACGCACACCCAGGGTAGCAAGGACAGCGGCAATGGGAATCGGGGTGGGGGATATAAGGCCCAGGGCGTCCTGGCAGGGAAAGTGTTGGAGGATTGCCAGGTGCCGCCTTCTGGGCTGGACCCCAGGAACCCAGGAGATGCCTCTAAGTCAGTAGGGGGACAGAGAGGTAGTAGAGTGGGGAAGGCTTGCACAGGACCGACCCAGTTCGATCCCCAGATCTGGAGCGGGTCCCCTGGGCCCCGCCAGGAGTGATCCCTGAGCAGAACCAGGAGTCAGCCCTGAGCACTGCTGCTGGGACCCATCAGCTGACCGGCTTCCCAAAGGAGTCAGCTGACCACTGGCTGCTCCTCACTGGCCCCCCTCCCCAATCTCACCATCAAGGCGGACCCCGCCCCCCCAGGACCCGAGCCCTGCCCCCACCCCGCCCAGAATGCCCATGTCACCTTTACTGAAGAACATGGAGGCCATCTGTCCCATCTCCACCCGGTCCGTGATCTCAAACAGGTGCTGAGGGCCGTGCCGCTCTGTGGGGGCCGGACACAACAGGGGGGAAGGCGGCTTTTCACTGGCTGCTCCCAGGACCCCCCAAAGCTGCCAGTGCCCCACGCAAGAGCTGACTCTTGAGAAAGCTCCAGCACTCCAGCACTCCAAGTATCTGTAGGGATGCTCGGCCCAGCACTCAGCCTGGCTTGGCTGGCAGACAAGGGGGCACCGCGCACGCCTGTGCTTTCCGGGACCCGACTTGGCTGCCAGCAGGCACTGCGGCTGGACGGTTTCAGGGGTGAGGGGGGAAACTGAGGCTCGGGGCTGGGGTCTGTACCCCCCAAGACCACCTGCTGTCTCTGAGGGGGTGGCGGGGGCTGAAACTTACGCACAGAGAGGATGGGCTGTGTCTCTGTCTGCTCGTAGCCGTCCTGCGGGAGCACTTCACTGTCGGAGGTTGAGGAGTCATCTGCGTCCTCCTAGGGCCCGGTCAGCGGGGACAATGCGGGGACGGGCCAGGTCAGCAGGAGGGCGTGTGCCCAAGCCCACAGGACACTTGGCCCTTCCTCGACGGTATCCAACAAGGAAGCGGGAGACACCAACAGCTGGGGCCAGGGCAGCTGGCACGTGGGGTCCCAAGGGACACCGAGCGCCCTTGCCAGGATTACAAGACTCAGCAGAGCACGGCGGCCCACGGGGAAAGAGGGGCAGAGGATGGACGAACAAACCCCCCAGCACGGACGGGGCCTTCAGCTTGGCCAACAGCCTCCCCGGCGGACACTCACCGGGCGGGCCTGTGCCCTCTTCCAGCGGAGCTGGGCATTAGCAGCTGCCATGGACTCGATCACGAAGGTGGTGGTCACAAAGCTGCGGGCGGCGGGGGCAGGGGGGAAGGAAGAGCTGTTTGCACACTCGGTCAGAAGTCCCAGTCCAAAGTTCTTTCCTCCCGCAGACTGTTCCCTGTTCTGCCCTGGTCAAAAGTGAGCGTGCGCAGGATGCCTTGCCCTTGGGAACCTCCATGTAGGATAAATTGGGGGGGGGGGGGGCTACAGGACTGCTCCCCGAGAAAGCATCTGGGGGCAGGGCAGGCAGGGGCTGGACATGCAGGGGCTAAACTGGAAGGAGGAGTCACAGGGAACCCCTGAAGCTTCTGGAAGGCCGGGGGCAGCTCTCCCGGCTCCTCAGGCAACCGAACAGGCCACCTGCCTCCGGATAACCCTTCTGGTATCTCCAAATTTATTTTTATTTTTGCACTGGTCAGAACCATAGTACAGCGGGTAGGGCGTTTGCCTTGCACGCGGCTGACCTGGGTTCGATTTCTCTGCCCCTCTCGGAGAGCCCGGCAAGCTACCCAGAGTATCCCGCCCGCACGGCAAAGCCTGGCAAGCTCCCTGTGATGTGTTCGATATGCCAAAAACAGTAACAGCAAGTCTCAGAATGGAGACGTTACTAGTGCCTGCTGGAGAAAAATCGATGAACAACAGGAGGACAGTGCTACCAGTGCTATTTTTGCACTCCGTTTAATGGCGCGCCTGCCCCCACACGTGAGCGTGTCTACCGTGGTGCGAAAGGGTGGCTGGAGCTCAGACTGCAGGGAAAATTGGGGGAGACACGGGAGGGCCCCCAGGAGAGCTCACCCAACGAAGCGAACTGAAGCCCCAGGTCGCTGGGGGTGGGTGGGCAGCAGAGTGGACAGGATGAGACCCACGCTCTGTGCACTGGGGGTGGGGGCCCAGCCCCGAGACCCCCTGCTTCTGACCTTCACGCCCGCCACCCAGGGTCTCATCACCCTGCTCAAGTGACCACCGAAGGCTTTGCGGTGAGAGGCAGATCTGTCTTCATTATGGCCGAGAGGCTTCTCCGGGGGGTACCCAGCCTGCTCATACATCACACTCAAGCTGACGTGTGATCTGCTCCAGGCCCAGGGGGGGTGGGGGGCCCCCAATCATTTCCCACCGAGATGGCTCTGCTGAAGGTCCTTTGGAGGGGACAGTGCCGCCACAGAGGGACAAGGCAGCCCAGAACAAGTAGCCACCGGGGCTGGCAGGAGGGAAGGAACCTGGGGGGGGCACCTCAAGGTTGACTCCCAAGCCCGCCCCCCCAAAAAAAAAAGATGCAGAGAACTAGAGATGTTGGACCCGGTTCAGGTGCTCGCTAGGTCTCTCTTTGCTTTAAGTTTGGAACTGTTTCTTCCGAGCCAGAGTGACAGAACAGGGGGGAAGGCATTTGCCTTGCACACGGCTGACCTAGGTTTGATCCCTGGCACCCTGTAGGGTCCCCGAGCCCTGCCAGGAATGATACCTGAGCACTGCCCGGACTGGCCCCCAAACCAAACCAACAGAACCATGGCGCTGCCTCCCCCGTCCCCAGAGTCCTCACTGCCCCGCGGTATACTCTCTCACCCAGCTCTGCCCTGGGGGCAGCCCAGCACCCACAAACAGCGCCAGGGGTGCCTGCCCGGGGGAGTCTCCTGGAGGTGTCTCCCGGGCCCCCATCCACCTCTTCTGCCAGTCCGTGGGTTTATATCGGCTGTGGGGGTTGGCCATGTCCATCCGCTTCCTTGCCGGGTGCTTGGCAGCCCTACAGGTGGTACAGGGGTCCCAGGACCTGTCCTAGGAAGAAGCATCTGCACCCAAACCCACTTCTCCTGCTGCTTCAACGCGGCTGTCCTCTCCTGCCAGCTGTGCCCCCTCAGAGACCACCTGGGGTGTGCTGATGCTGACAGCACCCCCACAGCCTCAGGGGAAATACTCCAGACCATTCCATGTCATTTGTCTTGAGTTTGGAACAGACCAGGCGCTGTAACCACTTCATTCCCATGACTCTGGAGACTCCATGGCCCCTGTGCTCTCCCCGGGACAGCCCACGAGGACCCCCCATCATTCCCGCAAGCGCACACAGAGGGTCGGGCCTTTTGGCAGGTGCCCCCAGACCCCCATGCCGGGGCCCCACTTCTCACCTCATGAAGCTGAGGAAGACCAGCATGACCAGGCTGACCAGCCAGCCTGCCGTGGCGAAGGCCTTGGGCATGGTGAGTGCGCCGGTGCCCACGATGAGGTTGAACATGTACACCAGCCCCACCTAGGGCAGAGAGGACAGTTGAGCCCCGAGGGGTCCCCCTCCTCTGCCCCCTCCCTTCTCTTTGTGTCTCTGATGGGTCAGCACAGGGCGGGAGAGGTCAGCTGAGGACAAAGCACGGTTCTGGGGTGCCCAGTACATGGACGAGGCACAGGGCTGACCTCAGGAAGTGTCCACTGGTCCTGGGACCCCGAGCATGAGACGCCATCCGCTCTTGGCACCCCAAGGCTTCCCTTTCCCGGCTCTTCCCCCACTTGCCTGTTCCCCCTTTCCACATAACTTCCAGGGAGGTTTCTGGGGGTGGACCACACGTGGCTGTGATCAGGATTTACTCCTGGCTCTGTGCTCAGGGGCCGATGCTAAGTGACTCCCAAGCGTGCTCTCCCTTTCCAACCCCAGGTGAAATTCTTCTTAGAAACACCCAGAATGGTGCAATAGTGCAGTGGGAAAGTGCTTGCATGCCACTGGCATGCGGCCGGCCTGGATTCAGTCCCATCCCCAGCCCCGCAGAGGGTCCTCGCATCCCGGCCAGGAGTGATCCCTGAGCACAGAGCCAGGAGTACTGTGGGGCTGAGCTCAAAAGAAAATCAAAGAAACACAAGATGTGGCCACAGACTCTCGTGTGTGTGTGTGTGTGTGTGTGTGTGTGTGTGTGTGAGCACATGTGTGTGGTGGTAGTGGTGGTGGTGGTGTGAGTGTGGTGGTGGTGCTATGTGTGCGTGGTGTGTATGTGTGTGTGTGTGGTGGAGTATGTGTGGTGGTGGTGTGTGTGTGATCTGTGTGTGTAGTGTTTTGATCTGTGTGTGTAGTGTGTGTGGTCTATATGTGTGGTGATGGTGTATGTGTGTAGTATTTGTATGTGATAGTGGTATATGTGTGATATGTGTGTGGTGGTGGTGTATGTGTGTGGTGTGTGCATGTGTGTGGTGTGTGGTTTGTGGATATGTGTATGGTGGTGGTGGTGTGTGTGGTGTGTGTAGGGTTGTGTGTGGTGTGTGTGGTGTGCATGTGGTATGTGTGTGTGATGTGTGTGTGGTGTGTGTGTGTGTGGCGATAGTGATGGTGTGTATGATGTGTGGATGTGTTGGTTTGTGTGTTTGTGTGTGGCGGTGGTGTGTGTGTGGTGTGTGTATATGGTGATGTGTGTGATGTGTGCGTGGTGTGCGTGGTGTGTGTATATAGTGATGTGTGTGTGGTGTGTGATGTGTGTGTATGGCGGTGGTGGTGGTGTGTGTGTGGTGTGTGTATATGGTGATGTGTGTGGTGTGTGATGTGTGTGGTGTGTGTGTGTGGTGGCGGTGGTGGTATGTGTGTGTTGTGTGTGGCAGTGGTGGTGGTGTGTGTGGTGTGTGTATGTGTTGGTATGTGTGTGTGGTGCATGTGTGGGGCGGTGGTGGTGTGTGTACGTTGTATATGTGTGTGTGTGGTGGTGGTGGTGTGTGTGTGGTGTGTATATATGGTGATGTGTGTGTGGTGTGTGTGTGATGTATGGGTGGTGGTGGTGGTGGTGTGTGTGTGTGGTGTGTGTATATGGTGATGTGTGTGGTGTGTGATGTGTGTGTGTGTGGCAGTGGTGGTGGTGTGTGTGGTGTGTGTATGTGTTGGTATGTGTGTGTGGTGCGTGTGTGGGGCGGTGGTGGTGTGTGTATGTTGTATATGTGTGTGTGTGGTGGTGGTGGTGTGTGTGTGTGTGATGTGTATATATGGTGATGTGTGTGTGGTGTGTGTGTGATGTATGGGTGGTGGCGGCGGTGTGTGTGTGGTGTGTGTGTGTGGTGTGTGTATGTGGTGTGTGTGTGGTGTGTGTGTGGTGGTAGTGTGCATGTGGCCCACATTCAGCTGAGCTCTGGGCTTGCTCCCAGCTCCATGCTCCAGGATGAGTTGCAGGCCTGGGGGTCTCTGCATGGCAGCGTCTGAGCGATCTGGCCCCAGACTCTTTTTCAAGCAGTCGGGGAGCATAAGGCCCCACTTTGGGGCACATGTTTGGGGGAGAGGGTTGGGAAGGGTTAGTGAGAACAGGTGTGAAGGGGTTCACTGGGGGGGAGCCCTGCTCCCACACCCGCCCAACCTCGTCCCCACTGCATTCATTGTGGGGCGCCTGAGTGCTGCCCTGATGCATCTCGGTTTTCGCCAGTGCATTGATCTGCTCCCAGCTACCAAATCACTCAAGCCAACTCCCTTTCTCAGCGTTTCTCAGGGTGCCTGGCCCAAAGACTTGACCTGAATCCTCAACAGAGCTGGCGGGACGGCTCAGGGTCACCTAGCCAGAGGAGAGGAACAGGCTTTGTTCCCCGTCATCAGTCTCGATTTGATCCTGAAGGAGCCAGATGACTCTGCTTCTGGGGGAGGCGGGGGTGCTTTGGGCCACACTCATCGGTGCTCAGTGCTTACTCCTAGCTCAGTGTTGAGAGCTCACTCCTGGCTCTGTGCTCAGGGTTCACTCCTGGCTCTGCGCTCAATGCTTACTCCTGGCCAGTGCTCAGAGCTCACTCCTGGCTCTGTGCTCAGGGCTGACTTCTGGCTCTGTGCTCAGGGCTCACTCCTGGCTCTGCGCTCAGGGATTCCTCCTGGCTCTGTGCTCAGGGATCACTCCTATCTTTGTGCTCAATGTTCACTCCTGGCTCTGTGCTCGGCGATCACTCCTGGCTCTGCACTCAGGGATTCCTCCTGGCTCTGTGCTCAGGGATAACTCCTGGCTCTGCTCAGGGCTCACTCCTGCAAGCTCAGAGGACTCTATAGGGCGGGGATCAAACCTGCAAGACCAGAGCTTCCTCCAGGCTCTGTGTTCAGGAATGACTCCTGGCAGGGTCCAGGGGACCCTAAGGGATGCCAGGGATGGAACCCAGGTTGGCCGTGTGCAAGGCACGCACCCTCCCTGTCGTCCTGTCGCTTGGGCCCCAGCTACTCCCTGGTGAGAAGCCTCCAGGGACTGGGAGTTAGCACTGCCCGATCCTGTTCTTCCAGCCTGGACCAGTGGGCAGACAGAGAGGGACATGCCTAAAGGCTGGACTCCCGGATAAGATCAGAGGCCCGGGGCCTGGCCCCAGAGGAGGAGCGGGACAATCTCCTCTGCTCAGGCGCCCATTGGCAGGTCTTGTCCTGCTCATCCTCAGCAAGCATCAAGAACGGTGGCCAGTGCCCAGAGGTGGGCAGCCACGGGCGGAGAGAGATGGCGAGCAAGCCAAGCCGGAGGGCAGAGCTCATGCTGCAGCAAGGTCAGAAGAAAGAACCTGAAATGAGGGGGAGGGGAGGGGGGGGGAGAAAGGCCTCAGGGGGCAGCAGAGGAGCTGAGGCCACAGAGCTGAGGCCGTCAGTGGTTTGGCAGCAGCTCCCAGATGGACAACAGGCCCCAAGCAAAGGTCACTAAGGGAAGCACTGGCCCCCAGGGAGAGGCCCTCAGGGGTCACAGCGATACTACAGCGGGGAGGGCGCTTGCCTTGCACGCAGCCGACCCAGGTTCGTGGCCGACCCTGGTTCGATTTCCAGCATCCCATAGGAAACCAACTCCCCCCACCCCGCCCCAATCTGAGCACTTCCGGGAGTGATTCCTGAGCACACAGCCAGGAGTAACCTCTGCCTCACCAGGTGTGGCCCCAAAACCAAAAATAAAGAAAAGGAAGCAGTCCTCAGGAGGAATCCTATCTCATTTTGTTTGTTTTGTTTTGTTGGGTCATGCCTGGCAGTGCTCCGGAACAACAGCAGACGGGAAGAATGGAACCTGGACCCTGGGTCCGAGGCAAAAGCCTTCACCTGGGTCCTATCTCTCTGGTCCCGTCATTAAAAACAAAACAAAAGCCTACAAAACAAGGCTGAAGCAATAGCACAGCGGGGAGGGCCCTTCTAGCTCGTGGCTCACCCAGATTCTATCCCCGGCATCCCATATAGTCCCCTGAGCACCACTTAGGAGTGATTCCTGAGCGCAGAGCCAGGAGGAAACCCTGAGCATCACTGGGTGTGGCCCCCCAAACAAACAAAACATTAATTAACTAAAAAGTGAAAAACTGTCTTGGCTATGTGCCAAGATGCCCACACTAGAAGTTAAGAGAACGCAGAGGCCCAAGAAAGGGCTTATTCTTGGCCGGGGTTTGCGGGGAGACAAAAGCAGCCACAGGCGTTTGTAAATTCTGGGCTGACAGAGGAAGGCCGAGGGCGGGGAGAGCAGGGCTGCTCGGGCGGGGGGAGAGCGCCCTTGTGGGGTGCTGCTGTGTGCACTGCGGGATGTTTAGCACACCCCGAGTCTCTGCATCCAGGATCTGGTACACCCCTGTCGTGATGATTAAAAATGTTGGGGTCTGGGTGGCCCGAGAGAGAAGCACGGGGCCAAGGTGCTTGCACAGGCAACCTGAATTCAACCCCGGGCACTACATATGGTCCCCGGAGTCGCAGCAGGAGTGATCCCTGAGCACCCCAAAACAAAAAAATAATCCCAAAAAGGGGGTTGGGGTAATAGTCCAGTGGGTAAGGTATTCACCTTGCAGTTGGCTGGGCCAAGTTTGATCTCTGGCAACCCACAGGGTTCCCTGAGCACAGAGTCAGGAGTCAGCTCAAATAAAAAAGAACAAACAAACACAAATGAGACAGCACAGTGGACAGGGCACTTGCCTGCCCCACCAGGAGTGATCCCTGAGCACACAGCCAGGAGTCAGTCCTAAAACCATGAGCACTGCTGGGTGTGGCCCAAAAATAACAAAACAAAAATATGGGGGGGGCGGGGAGGGAATGTCCCTGGGGGCCTGAGGAGGGTTCAGTGGCTCAGAGCACCTGCCTGTCAAGTGTGAGGCCACGAGTTGGATCCCTGGTGCCGCCCTCGTGCGCCCCAGCAGTGTATGCGGGCACGGGGGTACAGCCAGGTATGGCGAGTACCACGGCCCAGAGGGCTGCCCATGGCCGGCCCGGAATGACCAGCAGAGTGAGCACAACCAAGCGAGTGAGACGATGGTGAGTGCCACGGCCAGGGGTGCAAGTCCCACAGCTCCGCTACAGCAACATCAAAGAGGAAGAGAAAATCCCCACACTTGATGGCCAGGCGGCCCCCGTGAAATAAACACCCTCCCGGAGAAACTGCCAAGAACCTCTGAGGGCCGGAGAGATAGCACTGGGGAGGCACTGTCTGGTGTGCAGCCGACCCTGGTTCCAGCCCTGGCACCGCATAGTCCCCCGAGCATCACCGGGCGGGCCCCCGAACCCAAGGGGCAGAGAACACGCTGCACATCACCACTCGCCCCAGAGGGGGTCCGGGCAGCTGGAGTAGAAGGGGCTAGTAGTGACATCTGGTCCTGCAGAGCACGGTCAGGGGTCAGGTCGGGGCCAAGGCCAGCATGCTGAAGGCAGGAAGCAAAGGGGAGTGGGCTGGCTACGGCAGAGTGGGCAGCAGGAGGAAGAGGAAGGAGACTAGTTTTTCTGCGGTTCTGAGGCAGTTGAGCCCAGACGGTCTCTTGGGAAATGGGGGAGGGGGTCTCCTGTGGCCACAGCATCCTGCCCCTGTTCAGGGCTACCCGACAAGGCCTCCCTCAGGGCAGGGGTGTCTTCGCGGCTCCCTTGCCAGCTGCCAAAGGAGCCAGGGAGAGGCGGAAACACAGCTAAAGCGAAGTGAAAGGAACGTTCTTTCTTCGAAGAACGCACAGCGACAGCCTTCGTGGAAGAGAGAGCTTACCGTGAGCCTTGGGGAACTGGGGCGGGGACAGAGCTGTTCTGAGGTCACCTGGGGGGATGCACAGGCTCTCCGCAAATATAATAAAGCAAGACAAGGGGCTGGAGCGAGAGTACAACCGGGGAGGGCATTTGCCTTGCACCTGGATGATCCAGGTTTGATCCCCGGCATCCCATGTTGTCTCCCAAGCACCCATATGGTTTCCTGAGCACCACCAGGAGTGATTTCTGCATGGAGAGCCAGGAGTAACCCCTGAGCATTGTTGGGTGTGCCCCCCACCAAAAAAAAAAGAAAAAAAGCAAGACAAAGCCTGACCCCCAGGACAGGAACCACAGTGACTGTTCCCGGTCAACAGAGGCGGCTAAGCCCCGTGAGACTGTTCCACAGCCCAGACAGACATGGCTTGCTTAGCTCCAGGGCACAGAACAGATACCCCCTTACAAGACACTGGAGTGAAGGACCCCTGTGAGCGCTACATGGGAACAGTCAGGACCCCCGGAAGCTTGTTGCTGAGGAAGACTCTTTCCAGTCATTCTGCTGCTCTCAATCCACTCCCAGTCCCCAGCGCTAAAGTCTGCGACTGACAGGTACAGGACAGAGACCCTGGCCAGGCAGTAAGAGCAGATCAGCGCGGCTGTGACGGGGCCATGAGTGTTAGAGAAGATAAACTGAGTGTGTGTGGGGGGGGCAGGTGTTGGGCAAGGCAAGAGAGTCTTAAACCAGTCACTGTAATGACAGGTTCCACTGGGCTGCACTGGGAACTCTTGCTTTCTACCGCTGTTTGCATCTGCCAAGACTATAAAAATTGTGTAACTTCAAGTTCGGCGGAAAAACCACCAAGGAGGTTTCAAAGTGCTGAGGCGGCCAGGCTGTCGCTCAGCTGCCAATCACTGTCCGGGGGAAGGCAGTCCTGGAACAGACTGGGCAAACGGCAAGTCCAGCCCCAATCAAGTGGCCACTGCAGGCTTCAGGGGCCAGGCTGGGTGGGGGGAGGAGGAAGTGGGGTTTGGGGTCACCCAGCATGTCCCTGTATCAGAGGCAGCATCTCCAAGGCAGGAACTGATAGGGACAGAACTAGGTTTTTGTTTGTTTTGGGGGCCACACCCAGCTGTCTCAGGGCTTACTCCTAGCTCTGAGCTCAGGGTTCACACCTGGCAGTGCTCAGGGGCCCGTAGGGGGTTTCGGGGATCAAACTCCTCTGGCCCCCAGCACTAGCAGCTTCCAAGAGTCCAAAGGAAAGACTGGGAAGAGGACAGCGGGTAAGGAGCTTGTCTTTGCATGTGGCTGATCAGGGTTCGATCCCTGACACCACAGAGGATTCACTGATTCCTCCTCTCCAGGAGTGATCTCTGAGCACTGAGCCAGGAGTTCAGCCAAGCACTCCACGGGGATGCCCCCCCCACCCCCCACTGTAAGTAAGTAAATGTGCAAAGAAAAAGAAAATAACTCACGTAGGGAGAATAGAGCTCCCCGGTGTGGGTGATGTCGCCAGCCATGGTCCTCCTGCGTGGCGTCCGCTCTCAGTGCTGGGGCGGTGGCCGGGGCTCCTTAAGGGGCAAGCACGGACTTCACTTTCACATGGACCCAGGACGGGGCGGCCGGCAAGGGTCCCGCCTCCAGTCGCTGTATCGCTGACACAGGCTCCAAAGCGGTCACAAGACTGTCCGGCCAAGGGAGCCGGTCGGCCGGCGGAGCATGCACAATCCAGGCCGCTCGGCCGTACCCGAGCCAGGGAGCAAGGGAGCTCGGAAGACCCCAGTCCCCTCTACCCCTTTGCACTTTTGGGGGGGGGCTCCCCTTTTATCTCCACGAATAGCCGGCTCGCTAGCATCCGTGCCTCCTCTGCCTCGGGTGAGGGGCGAGGTGGTGCCCCACTCCCCCCACCCCTTTATCCCAGAGCTGCGCTCCTGCAAGGGGGGGGGGGCCCAGCCCGGCTCCCCTCCTGCCTCGGGGCTCCACCACCCTCCTCTCACAGCTCCCCGCTCTCGCCAATTCTTCCTCCCTGACGTAGCTCCGAGTCTCGCGCCGCCCCCGATGGTTCCACCCCCCATCTGGCTCCCCGCCTGCACCCCGACACCTGCAGCACGCCTCGCTCCGGGCCACCGTGGCCGCCGCCGTCACCGCCGCCGCCTGCCACCCCCGGGCTGCTCCCGGCGCCAGCTGTCCCGCACCGGTGCGCGCAGCACGCATGCGCGCGGCCCGGAGCTCGCCTTCGTCCGCGCGCGCCGATTGGACGCTCCGCGAGGGCGGGACCGGAATGGGCCCTGGCGGCTGCCGTCTGCGTGGCGGAAGTAGGCGGGGCGCGCGCTCTTAGCGCCTGCGCGGGGAGCCGGCTGCTGGGGACGCCGGGCTGGACGCTGCAGGTCCCTCGCTTTCTTCCGTGGCGGGACAGTAGCCAGCGGGAGTGGGCGTGGATCTGGCCTTGAGGGGACAGTAGTCACCACCCGGGGACTTAAGCCCTTCTTCCCTGAAGAAGGTAGCCTGGACTGTCGGCCTTGGGGGTGGGAGAGAGACAGGAGCTGAGGTCAGTCGCCGAGAAGGGGGAGGAACGTGGGACGGAGTCCCCTGTTCCTGGGTTTCGGTGCTCGGGGCTGAGGGACCTTCTGGGACGGACCTTCTTGAACGGCTTGAACGGCAGCCCAGGGCTGGCCCCGTGCGCTGCGGGCCGGATTGTTGGAGGACCTTCAGCCAGCTCGGTTCACCTGCTTGCAAGGGCTTCCGAGTCCGTGCGCCCTGCCGCCTTTGGAGAGAAAGGATGGAGGCGTCTCCAACTCCTTAGCTCCAGACAGTTAGAGGCAGAGGAATCGAGCTCTCCGAATCCCACATCTAGTGGAATAAACTCGGGGTCCTGAAGTCTCCACTCTCCGCACCACCGACTGCTACCATGAGGATAAATCAAAACATCTTGCTGCTGGGAAAGAAAGTGGTCCTGGTCCCCTACACCTCCAAGCATGTACCCAGGTAATTGGCTAGTCCCTCCCCCGCACCCTTGGGCTTGCAGGCCAGTGTTGGGGAAAGGATGAAGGACAAGAGGAAGGAAACTTGCTTCACTAGAGGGAGTCTCCCGTCCCGTCCCCGGCCTCCATTCACCCTCTCAGCTTCCTTGGCAGCCTTTCCTTCAGTTTTTTGTTTGTTCTTGTCTAGGGTCTGGCTCACTGCTCAAGGTGACACCTGGCAACACTCTGGGGACCGTGTGATGTGATGCCCGAAATGGATTAGCATCTGCTCATCCTTCTTTTTTTTTAAATGTAGGAGTACTGCTATTTATTCAGCCACCGATTAGCTGATTGAATTGTGCATGAACTCCAATTTTATTTATTGAATCACCATGAGAGCAGTTACAAAGCTTTCGGGTCTAAGTCTCGGTCTTACAATGAAACACCCGTACCTTCACTAGTGCCCATTCTCCACTCCCAACAACCCCAGTATACCCCCATCCCACACCCTCCCCCTACCTGTAGGGCAGATGATTTCCACATTACTCTCTCTCTACTTTGATCACATTCAATATTTTGACACCAGACCCACCATTATTATTAGAGATTTTACCCCAACACTCAGATCTGCTGAAAAGGCAACAGTAGACTATTTGTTTTCTGTTGCTGGTTATGAATAACATATGATGTCGTGTGGCTGCAGTAGTGGCTGCGCGATTTTGAAATTCCGAAATTTTAACACTTACATCTGGAGGGATTTCTGCCAAAACCAGGTGGAATCAGGCGGAATGACAACACCCGTTCCCCCTGGGGTGGCCCGGCAACAGTAACCTACTGTGGGGTCTAGACGCATTTCTGCCAAAAACCGCTGGGTTTCGAGATTTGTTTCTGAGTCTCTGGGATCATGGCCATTAAGCAGCTTGATCAGGAGCCAGAGAGGCCGTTTGTGGGCGATGACTTGGGCCCTTTGGGACGGGGAGGACAGGACCGGCTTCACCCCTGTCCCGTGAGGCCCTGCGTGTCTTGTCACCGTGGGCCCAAACTTAACTGTCCAGTGGCCTCTGGAGGGTGGCAGCCACCGGGTCGCCAGGAGAAAACAGGCCAAGGCACGAAACCTATTCCCACCTGGGTTGGCCCAGCACCGATAACCTACTGCAGGGACCGGACGCATTTCTGCCAAAAGCCACCGGATTTAGAGATTTGTTTCTGAGTCTGGGATCATGGCCATTAAGCAGTTCAATTAGGAACAAGAGAGGCCATGCCTCCAATTATATAGCTGAGCTGGAGGTGGTTTGTGGGGGTGTTTCCCACATACCTAACTTTTGACTGTTTACTTTCTTGGTAAACTTTGCCCCAAGTTTTTGGGGTCTGGCCAAAGGCACAGCAGCAATTTTGGGGTATCTGGAAGTCTGAAGGCGCCATCAGGCTGCTGATGCACTCGCCTCACGGGTACAGATTGACCTGCTGGCGGCACTCCTTTGTCCTTGTTTTTTTGGGTGGGGGGTGTCACACCCGGTGGTGCTCAGGGCTTACCCCTGGCTCTGCACTCAGGAATCACTCCTGGCCATGCTCAGGGGACCATATGGGATGCTGAGGATCGAACCCGGATTGGCTGCGTGCAAAGCAAATGCCCACCTCGCTGTACTGTCACTCTGGATCCCGCTCAGACTTCTGTGCCCTCTCTCCACCCTCCCTGTAGTAAGTTACTTTATGTAAAGCAAGTGTGTGTTAGAAGAAAGAAACCGGGGACCCTGAGAGATAGCTCCTAGTTGGAGTGCGTGCTCTGCCCGGGGCCCCAGCTTCCATTTTCCACATGATCTGTGCTCTGTACCCCCCAGCGCTGCACAGCCCCCCAAGCACTGACCTGGGAGTAGCCCCTGCCCACTGCTGCATGGGGCTTCGGAACTAAAGCAAAAAAAAAAAAATGGTGTTGTTTGATCACGAGTAAGAGCCCTCTTCCTGGATGCCGGTGCTTAGTACAGTGGAAAGGGCATTTGCCTTGACTGCGGCCAACCCGGGTTCAATCCCTAGCTTCCCATAGGGTCTCCCCAGCATTGCCAGGAGTAATTCCAATTCCTGAGTGCAGAGCCAAAAGTAACCCCTGAGCATCACTGGGTGTGATCCAAAAAGCAAAATAAAACAAAACCAAAAAAGACCCCCCCCTCCCTGGTGCCCACGAACACACTCCGTGCTTGCACTCTGCCCTCTGCCCTTTAGCCTGTGGGCAAGCTCAGAGCTGATGGATCATTCTGAAGGCGACTGTCTGGAAGGGGGCCAGAGCCGAGTCCCAGATGGGGTCAGTGGGGACAGTGGGCACAGATTAGTCTCTACCTGTGCTTTCGCTCTATGGGGGTCTCTGGTGCCCCTGTGGCCTTTGTGAAGAGTGCCCACTTGCTGCTGAGTCAGCTGAGTGTGACCTCCCAGGAACCTGAGGCTCCTCCCTCTGTCACTGACCCCAGCAGGAATCCGGACAGACCCCGGGGCACAGGAGCTGACGCCATTGGCTGTTGTGGCCTAGGGCCAGCTTGCCTTGGGGCCTCAGTCCCTCCCCAAAAGCTGGTGCTAGTGACCTTCCTGCCACCCACGCCTTCATCTCTCAAAGGATTCACGGCTGGGCCTCTGATGCCTCCTGTCTGCTGCTGCCCCGCTCTGGCCCCCAGGTACCACGAGTGGATGAAGTCGGAGGAGCTGCAGCGCCTGACCGCGTCAGAGCCGCTGAGCCTTGAGCAGGAGTACGCGATGCAGCGCAGCTGGCGGGACGATGCAGACAGTGAGGCCCTCCCCAGCCCCACCGCCCTGCCTCACCCCGCAGGGCCCCCAGCTGGTGCTGCAGGCCGGGAAAGACCCAAAGTCTCATTTTGAACATGGAAGCTGGGGCTGGTGGTGGATGCCCCCCCTCCAGGGCCCCAGGGGGAGGGAATCAGAGCAAGTAGAGACTTTCAGGGCGTACAGCCCTGTGCCTCCGTCCCTGGCCACAGCCGAGTGGTTATTGCCCCCAGAATGCAGTTTGGAGCCCTTTGTGCCCACACAAAGCAGAGGAGAGTCCCCTGTGCCCCTTTCCTAGCCACCGGGGGTCTGTGAGTCTCAGGCCGGGTGGAAGACGGTTGTCACGTCCCCTCCCTTCTGTCACCCTCCTCAGAGTGCACGTTCATTGTGCTGGATGCAGAGATGTGGCAGGCCCAGCCGCGGCCCCCGGAAGAGAAGTGCATGATAGGAGACGTCAATCTCTTCCTCACCGACCCGGGGGACCCGGCCTTGGGGGAGATCGAGGTCATGATTGCGGGTGCGTGGATGCTCTGTGGCCGCACCCCCCCACCCCCCTTAGCCTGCTGGGTCACTAATGCTCAGGGCTGAACTTAACCTTGGTCTTCAGACTCATCTGCGCTCTCTGGTGGGCTGGGAACTCCCAAATAACGGAACATCCCTGACCCTCCCACCCCCAGGTCCTCTCCATGCTCTAGACCTTTGCAGAGGGGCCACAGTGCTCCAGCCTCCTGCTGAGGCTTTTGTTTTTGTTCTGGGTTCCCTTTACCCAGGGGTCACTCCAGGGGCTGTTCAGGGGAGCTTGGGGTGCGGGGTTCCTGCCTGTGAAGCCTGCGCTCAGTCCCAGGAGGGGAGCAGCTTGACCAATGGGGTCGGGGTATTCCCCAGCCCCCAGATCTCAGTGGGGGCAGGAGGCAGACCTTGGCTGCTCCGAGCTCATCCACAGAGTAGCAGCACCCTCCTGAGGGCTGAGGGCTGGTGGGTGCCCGGGAGCCCTTGGCACGTGCCAGTGCCATTGTGCTCGCCCATCTCTTCTAGAGGCCGCCTGCAGGGGTCGGGGCTGTGGCACCGAGGCGGTGCTCATGATGCTGTCTTATGGTAAGAGTCCGGTCCCCGTTCCCGCCCCATCCAGTTCCATTCCTCGCCCCATTGGCCGTGTCCCTGAGGTCCCGGTGCTGGGACCGGCTTCTTAGTCCGAGGTGGGGAGTCAGTCAGGTGCTGCCCCTTCATCCCTCTCTCCTCTCTGTTCCGGGAGGAGCGACCAAGCTCGGCCTGACCACGTTTGAAGCCAAAATTGGGCAAGAAAACGAAGCCAGTATCCGGCTGTTCCGAAAACTTCACTTCGAGCAGGTGGGGGCGTGGCGGGGGCTTGGCCCGGCCTCGCTCCGTGACTTGAGCCCATTCCTCCTCCCCCACTGCTCCCGCAGGTGGCCGAGAGCAGCGTGTTCCAGGAGGTGACGCTGCGACTGCGGATGAGCCCGCCTGAGCAACAGTGGCTGCAGGAACAGACCTGCCACGTGCAGGAGCAGCCCTACCGCGAGGGGGCACTAGAGCCCCGCTGACCGCGGCCCTGGACCAACCACCCGCGGGGCCGGGCGTGTCGGGCGTCCACTGCGGGGACTCCGAGGAGCCACCCCAGGCTGGGACTCGCTTTGTGGGGGCGGAGAGGGGAGACCCGTGGTAGGCCGGGCTCCGGCGGGTGCTCTGCGTGTGTCATCCTGGGAAGGAGTGGATGTGCTAGCACGCTTAAGTCCTGGACCTCCCTTCACCCCTGGGGGCTCAGAGCGCTCCTGGGGGCGCCGTGGGGGAGTAAAGCACGTGCATCTCCCCCATCCGTGTTTTCTCTTGGCGTGTCCCCCTCCTCCATGGAAGAAGCGCGGTCCCTTGGGGTGGGAGGGCAGTGTGGCCCTGGGTTTGAAAACGGATGAACCTCGCCCTTCCCTTTCTCCTGGGAGCTAGTTTGGGAGAGCTGAGTTCGTTTTGGAACCAGCTGGAGAGCGCCCCTCAGCCCGTGAAACTTAGTGTTCCACCTGCCCAATGGCCAGGACCACTCTGGAAAGTGCCCCTCCCCCGACCCTGGAGGGGAGAGAACGCCCCCTCCAGCTCTGGCGCTGCAACGCCGGCTGTGCCCACTAGGGGGCGCTGGAGGCGCAGGCTCGGGTGGCCGGGCGGATTCTCTTCTTGGTCCAAGGCAAGGGGAGACAGGCTTTGACTCCTAAGGATTCCGTGGGAATCTGGGTGCTGTCAAGACACCCTTACGGGAGAACTTGAGGCCTCTGGGGTGTACTGATGGGGGACACGCGGTCCCGCACCTGGTGCCTGTTCTCAGGAGACCAGCTTGAGCGCTGGGACCATGCCCCTCCTCAGCTAAGGTGCAGTCACCTGCCTGGTTTCCCCCTGGCGGTTCCTCATCCCACTTTCCACATGCTCAGGCCTGTTCCGTGCCGGGAGGGAGGGTTGAGACAGGCGGCACCTTGGATCATAAGGGTTAGAGCCTTGTCACTTGCTTTTTAACTTTTTTTGCCAACACCTGGCTATGCTTAGGGTTCACAAGAGGTTCAGGAGACCATATGGAATAACAAGGAGCAAACCCAGGTCAGCCGCACGCAAGGCAAACATCCCCCAGTGCTTCCTGACTTCCTCCTGGATGCTCAGGCTCAGGAACCTGCTTCCCAGGGGTCCGGTTGGGGGAAGAAAAGAGCCTGGGGCCTCTTCCCGGCAAGCCTCCAATGTAGCTTCAGGGAGGGGACTAAGGTCTCTGGTGGAGGAAGAGCCTAGCCGGCACCCCACCCCCCCAAATCTTGCCCCAACAACACCCCCCAGCTGAGCCCAAGGCAGCCAGGTCTTCCCAGAAGTTCCCTCCAATCTCATCCAGATGAGTTAGAGTATCTGGCACCAGGCTCAGATCTCTCCAGGGAATCTGGTATGGCGGGCAGGGGCTGGGGACAGGGTCCAAGCTCATTTGCATTGCAAATCCAGCTGGGCCTGGATTCCCTTTCCCAGCTCCAGGGGGCTCCTCTGGAGGGGCTCTGCTGCCAGGCCTTGCCAGGGAAACCCTTCAGGCCCCTCTACATGCACCCTGGGCTAAAGCTACCACCTCCCTCCCCAGGCCAGGGGCCGCAGCAGGCCCTGACCACCTCCCTCCAGCCGGGAGGGGACAATTCCTAAAGGAAGACACAGAGGCGACTTCAAGAAACCAGCAGTTCTGGACAGTTTCTTTACAGCGCGTGCCCTGGCTCAACTTGGCAGCAGCCGCCCTGCTGTGATCTGGGGCGGGGGCGGGGTGTTGTGTGGAGAGAAATGCAAAGGTGGAGGCACCCAGGGAATCACATCTTAATCAGGAAAACGATCCAAACTGCTCTCCCAAAAATCATCAGGGAAGCGCAGTCCGGTTGACTCTGAGGCGTGGCCAATCCTTGATCTGCCTGGACCTGTGTCCCCGGGGTGGGTGGGGGGAGGGGTCAGGAGGGCAGGTGACCTCTCCAAGGGATCACATGATCCTTGGTGCGAGTGTCAAATGTTCCTGGCGGGGCGGCCAGGGGTGCCAGTGATGGGGAGGTAGGGAGGGGACAGCGTTTGCTTTTCTATTGGGGCAGGACGGACACCTTCAGTTTCTCGGAGATCGGGGCGGATGGGGGGAGGCAGAGAACAGTTCTGAGGAGAAAAAAAATCAGATTGGCCAAGAGAGGAGATGCTGGTGCTGATTGGTGTGTGATTCAGGGGGGCCGTGGGGCGGGGGGTGGGAAGGGGCCGGGTGAGGCCGGCAGGGTCGCTCAGAGGTTGCTGAAGAGTTCGTTTTTCTTGCTCCAGTCCATCTGCGGGGCCCGCCTGCAGCCGCGCTTCTGATGTGCCCGCTCTTTGGCCATGGCCAGCGAGATGCTAAAGTCCAGGATAGGGTCGGAGGAGGAGGTAGACGAGGCGGCCTTGGAGTCCTGCTTCTTGGGGCTGTCCTGGGAATTCAGCTGTGAAGGTGGAGGGTGGCAGTCAGCGCTGGCCCCCCCAGAGCATGGGGGCACAGGTGGGGGTGGTGGTTCCCTCCGGGCAGTGCCCAGGGAAGCCGGGTCACAAGAAGCAAACGTGGCTCAGCATGTGACCTCCCAGGCGGGCTGGTGTGCCAGGAGTGAGCTGGCCTGGGCACGGCCAGGCTCCCTGGCACCGGGGCTGCCCCAGCTTACCTCCTCGCTGGTTTCACTGGAGGTGGACCTGGCCAAGGCTGGCTTGGGGTTCTCAGAGGCTGGCTCTGCCAGGGCTTCCGGAATGTTCTCCTGGCAGGGAGAGGGGGAGGAGGAGGGTGTGGGTCATGGGGGAGGGGTGGGCACTGGAGCCAGGAAGGGAAGGGAGTTCCCGGGGGTGGGGTGGGGGACCCCCCCACATTCCAGCTGGGATCAAGAGCAGCCTGGGCCTGCCCCCAGGGGGCGGGGCCCTTGGCCACCCCTCAAATCCCATGGGAGCCCTTGAGCTAGTGGCTGAGGAGGGGCTCCCAGGTTGTGGGGACTGGGGGTGAGGGGCTGCTGTCTCAAGTACGAAGCCCCCGAATCTGCAGGCCACCTTTGAACTTGGATCCGGCCCTGGGAATCTTGAAATCCAAACCCCAAAAGGGCCAAGAGGGGCCTTGAAGGAGTAAAGTCGCCGAGGATTCCGAACCCCCAAGGTGGGCGATGGGAGCACCCAGGTCACCCCCTTGTCCACTGCGGGGACCCCTGGGAAGGGGTCTGCGCAAACCCGCCACTCCACATACGGTGGTGTGTGTGTGTGTTGGGGGGGCGGTCCTGGCTGGGCGCATGGGCCCTGCCCCAGCTCCGGCCTCGCTGGCACCAACCCTGGCCCCTCTCCCGGGGCCTCCCCTCTCCCTCTGCTTTGTTCTTCCAGCCCAGACTGCGAGGGGCAGGCCCAGACACTGCGGCTCTGTTCTTGGGGGGAAGAATGGCCGCTTCTGTCCCGTGGGGAGCCGGAGGTGGGGCCTGTCACCCAGGGCGGCGGGCGCAGAGGGGCCCGGGGGGCTGCTGGCACTTGTAGGCCGTGAGGCCCAGTGGCTTGGGAAGGACATTTGAGGGGAGCCTGCCAACGCCCCGCCCGCCCCCCGCCCCTGAGCCCAACTTTACCTTCTGGATCTCCCCATTCGTGCAGGGCTCAGGCAGGGCACCTGGGGCAAGGGCAAAAGAACAGGGGTGAGTGGGGGCGGGCACTTGACAAGGAGGCCAGGTTCTGCAGACAACCATATCCTTGTCCCACTGCCAGTTATTTGAAAAGGTTTTTGTTTGTTTGTTTGCTTTTTGGGTCACACCCGGCGATGCTCAGGGGTAACTCCTGGCTCTGCACTCAGGAATCACTCCTGAGTGCTCAGGAGACCATATGGGATGCCAGGAATTGAACCCTGGTTGGCCGCATGCAAGGCAAACGTCCCACCCGCCGTCCTATTGCTCTGGCCCCTATTTTAAAAGTTTTTTTTTCTTTTTGGGTCACACTTGGAGTTGCACAAAGGTTACTTACTCCTGGCTCTGCACTCCGCCTTGCACGCGGCTGACCCAGGTTCAATCCCCAGCATCCCATAGGGTCCCCTGAGCCCAGTCAGGAATGATCCTGGAGCACCGCCAGGTGTGGTCCAAAATAACAAATAAAACAACCCAAAAGATTTTTGGTTCTATATTTTTTTGGCTTTTGGGGTCATACCCAGCAACGGGGCTGGAGTGATAGCACAGCGGTAGGGCGTGTGCCTTGCACACAGCCAACATGGCCGACCCGAGTTCAATTCCTCCGCCCCTCTCGGAGAGCCCGGCAAACTACTGAGAGTATCTCGCCCGCATGGCAGAGCCTGGCAAGCTACCCATGATGTATTCAATATGCCAAACACAGTAACAATAAGTCTCACGATGGAGACATTACTGGGCCTGCTCGAGCAAATCGATGAACAACGGGAGGACTGTGACTGTGACTGTGACTGACCCAGCAACGCTCAGGGGTTATACTCCTGGTTTTGCACTCAGGAATTACTCCTTGGTAGTGCTTGGGGACCCTATGGGATGCTGGGGATCGGACCCGAGTCAGCCATGTGCAACTCCTGTCAGGAGTGACCCCTGAGCACTACTGGATGTGGTCCTCCAAAAAAGTTGCAACAGTTGGGGCTGGAGTTTCTCTCCCGTGTCCACATGGTGCCCCAACACCAGGCAGGGGAGAGGGGGTTCGGGGCACTCCCAGTGGTGCTCAGCAGTCACTCCCAGCAGTGCTTGGGACCAAATCCAGAACTGCTGCAAGTAAGCAAAGCCCGTCACCACACACACACACACACACACACAGTTTGTATGTAATGAAACAGTCCCAAACTCCATGCGTGGTAGCTGTAGCCAGTGTGATAGCGATACTTTAAGGGGTGCAGGGAATCGAATCCAGGTTAGCTACGTGCAAGGCAAACACCCTCCCCGCTGTGCTATGGCCCAGGCTCCACGCTGACGCTTTTACAGAAGAGCAGCTCTCCGCCCCTTCTTAGGTTCCTAGTCTCTGAAGCTGGACCAGCTCTAGGGAAACTTTACAGCTCCAGGTGGAATTGAAATTTTGGGCCAGCCGCCTAAGAAGGCCCTAGATGCTTATTAGGAATTTGCATTAGAAACTGTCTCCTAGGGCTAGAGAGAGGGCAGAGGGGAGGGTGTTTGCTTTGCATATGGCAGACGCGGGCTCCCTCCCAGGATCCCATATGGCCCGAGCCAGCACCGCCAGGGGTGATTCCTGCTGGGTGTGACCCCCAAAACAAAAAATAGAAATTTGCATTGTGGGCTGCGGTGTATGCTTTGCATGTGGGAGCCCTGGGTTCAATTGGGGGAAATGGGGGGTCCCCTGAGCACTCACCGATGTGTATCCAACCTCCACCCCCACACACACAGAGAAACACCCCAGAAGTGACATGCTGATGGAGTGGACTGGGGCGGGCCTAGCAGGCCAAAGCTTCCCCACAGCCCTCTAGGGTGGGTTGGGCCAGGGCACGGCTGGTGGGGCCTCTGTGCCAGGGGGCATCGGGCAGGCCAGAGGGCACAGGGCAGACTCCTGGGCGTGTCTTCGTTGTCAGCAGAAAACCTGGGGGCGGCCAGGGGTCGGAGGGCACCAGCTTTGGGGTGTGTGGTGTGGTGGGCAGGCGCTGTCCTGCCTTTGGGAATGGCCTGGACGTGTTAGTTCTCACTAAGGGTCACCTCTCAGGGGCCCCATGACTGGGCCAATCTGATGCAGCCCCGCCACGCTGACCCCATAGGCTCCTGGTCATCTCACAGGGTGGCAGGTGGTCTCGGGAGGGGCAGGACTCTCCCGGGGGGACAGGACACCCGCTCAGGAGGGGCCTCAATCCTGGAGAAGCTGCAGGCAGGCCAGAGGCTGCGGTCCCGGGGTATAGGTGCTGGAGAAGGGAGGTCTCCCCACTCCTCTGGGTCCCCTGGGGCTTCCTGGTTTCTGTGAACTTGGGGTGCCAAGGGTAAGGCCCTTGTTGGCTAGGGACCCCCCTCTAGGCCCCTACCCTTCCTCCAGGCCCTGCCTCAGGATCTCCCACCTTGGGATCCAAGTCTGCCGACACCTACCCCACGCCCCCACATACAAAAACAGCCCACCAGACCCACTGCAAAGTCCAGAGACAGCCCCGCCCCCACAAGCCATCTCTGGGGAGAAAGTCCAGCCCAGCCTGCACAGGACAAGCCCTGCAAGGAGAGACCCACTGGGTCTGGGTTTCCAAGACAACCTGGGGGTGGGCAGAGCTGTCCTGCAGAGCCAGGCGCCCCAGAGTTAACCCCTTCGTGGAAGTTGTGCTTTGAGAGAAGTTTTGGAGGATTGCGGGGAGGGGGGGTGCCACAGTAACCCCCCCCCCCCCCAGCAGCTGGGGTCCTGGGAATTGAAGCCCCTGCTGACACCCAGTCACCCAGCCCTGCTCTCCCCCAACCTTGGGTCTCTCTCTCTCTGGGAAGGAGGGGCCGCCTCCCACACCCCCAGCTCACCTTCCAGGTGCTCCTGAGAGGGGGTCACTCTGCACTTCTTGAAGAACTCATCCGTCTCCTGGTCCACCACCAGCAGCTTTGTCTGGTCCCCGCCAGCCTTGATGGCTGCCACTACGTCACCATGCTGTTTGCCCTCCATGCAGACCCCGTTCACCTGTGGGGGGCAAGACAGTGGGGGAGTTGCTCATCCTCCACCCGCTCTCCCTGTCTGCAGGGTCCAGCACTGGGGTCAAGGGTCCCCCTGACGGCCAGATGGGGGACGCTGGATCACAGGACAAGCCAAAGAAAACATCCCTGGAGACTAAACAAACACAGCTGCACCCACGGGAAGGGAAGGGAAGGGAAGGGAAGGGAAGGGAAGGGAAGGGAAGGCTCTGGAAGGCTGGGTGGGTCGGACAGGGAGGGGTATCGGTGGACCCAGAATTCTGGGCCAGCATGAAGCTCTGAGACAGGGATCCCCAGGCCTGGGGTTCACCAGGGAAGCCCAGCTGAGGCCCCAGGGTGGGGGTGCGGGCCACTGCACTCTGGACAGTCTCAGTTCTGGCCAGGCCTGGCACTCAGGCCTGAGTGAATCGGGGGCGCTGAGCTGGTCACATGGTGGGCACAGAAACAGATGGTCCCTCTCCCTGACACTCCTCACGGCTCCTTCTCTGCCCTGGACCCTACCTGTGGGCCCCTCTTTTCCTCAGCTCCTGCCATGTACACCCGCCATCTCTCTGTCCACTCTGTCCTGCGCCTGCAGGGAGGTGAGCTGCAGAGGGTCGGGAGTGGCGTGGGGGGCAGGCTGGCCAAGTTCTCACCTCCACAATGCGGTCCTGGGCCCGCAGCCCCGCGGCCTCGGCGGGCGAGCTGGCGTCCACCGCACGGATGTACTGGCCCGGCTTGGACTTGTCGCTGTGCAGGTTGAAGCCGTAGCCGTTGGGGCCCTTCTTCATGACGCAGAGTCGGGGCCGCAGTGCAGGCTGGGGGTGAGAGGGCCCATCGGTCATTCCCCAGTGCCCGGGTCTTATTCCACCCACACACCTGGGCTGGGGAACTCTTAGGGGGACCCGGCACCTCCCTGTCCACGGGCAAATGAGAGGGGGACGGGGACCAAGGGCATGACCCTGCCCTTTCTCCCATTGGTTCATCACGGTCAGTTTCCTTTGGGGGGGGGTCAAGTTCACACCCAGCGGTGCTCAGGGGAACAAACATTCCTGTCTCTCTCGCCAGCCCTTTGTGATACCGTGATGCCCCCCAAACGGCTCACCTGGTCTTCTCGGACCTGGCACCCCTGTCAGCCAGGCCGAGCACCTGAGCCCTGGGCCCCGGGCCCACTGGCACCCCCTTTTCTGCAGCAAGAGAAGCAGGAGTAGATAGATGTGTGAAAGCTGGGTGGTGGGAGAATGGGGAGCCTCTTCCTCACCCCGGGGGCTCCCAGCTCTAAGCAGGGCACTCCCTGGTAGGAGCGAGGCTGCAACGGAACCAGAGCGTCTGCCTGCTGCGCCCAAAAAATCTGAAGAGGGAGAGTCCCTGGGCAGATGGGCACTACGGAGACCGGCCCAGAGAGGTGCCCTCCAGACAGGCGGCAGCGGACCAGGCTGAGGGCTCAGCTCCCCCATCTGACCCACTGGGCTCCAGCATCCGGCCACCCCATCTGGCCCATTGGGCTCCAGCACCCCCCTACCCAGGGCCCATCCGGGCAGCTTGGCTCAGCCTACAGCACAGGATCACAGCATAGAGGGATGGAATGTGGGTGGGGTCCCGGGGCTGATTCTAGCCCCCCCTTTCAGTTTTTTCCCAGACCTGTAACAGGGCCCCAGGAGGCCAGGAACTGGAGCCCAGGTTCCAGTGGGTGGGGCGGGAAAAAGAATTTCCTTCTCACTGGTGACAGTCCTGACACCTTACTCCCCAAAGCCTGCTGCCCGAGACTCCCATTGTGGTTCCCATTGTGGCTCTGTGGTTCGGAGATGAAAGGGGGCATTAGCAGAGAAGAGATTCGGAGGAGGGTGAGGGAGTGCCAGGTTGCCCTGCAACCCCTGCCCCCTGCTGGGAACGGGAGAGGGGGTGGGGTGGGGGCACAGGCGCCTCCTGCCTTGACTTGCTGCCAGCGCCCTCTGGGGTGACTGGGCCCCACCCTTCCAATGTGGGGGCTCTGCCTGCCGGTCAGCACTTTGAGGGGGGGGGCGTGGAGGGGATGCCAGGACTCCCATGGGGTGGGCAGGGGAACAGCCATGTTTCCCATGGTCCTCCTTCCTGACAGAGTCTGCTCCCTGGTAGCCCCAAGGATCCAGCACCTCCACAGCCCTGGGGGTGGGGGGGATCTTCTCCCCAGTGAGGCTTATTCCCTTGCTGTCACCCCCCAGCTCTCGCCCAATCCCCCCCTCAGGCCCTGGGGATCCGGAACAGGTCTGACCAGTCCCGCCTGGGCTGGCCAACTCCCTGTCACCCAGAGAAAGTGGGGGGAAGGAAGGCAGCCCCCGGCAGAGGTCACCAGCATTTCACAACGGGAGGCCCGGGAGGCCGGGAAAGGAGGCGCCTCCGGGAGGGGCCCAGGTCCTTCCAGCATCCCCCCAGGTGGCAGGAGGCCCAGGAGCTGAGGGGTCAGTGCTGGGGCTTCTGCTGGAAGCCTCAGTGGGTGAGGCAGCTGATTGGTGTGGGAGGGGGCATGCTTCCCTCCAGCACAATGGCCAGGGAAGCTGAGGGCCGGCTGGGGCCTCACTTCCAGCCATACAGGGCACCAGCGGGGGGACTCAGCACCCCAGACTGGACGGGAGGCACAGGAAACCCAGTTGGGTTTCTGCAGAGTTCAGCCCCAGAGCCCCTTCGGGCCTTCCCACACTCCCCTGCCCCACCGCATCTCCAGGAGGTCCATCCCGGCTGGCAGGGCAGGGGTATCCAGGGGAGCTGAGCCTCCCCACGGGGTAGGGGACGGGGCCTCGGTGTCTGTTTGGATCAGGGAACCCAAGAATCTGCTCAGGGCGCAGTCACGGGGGTGTCCGCAGGCCTGGCCGGGCAAGCCCCCTCCCCCGCGCATGGTCCTCCCGTGGAGTGGCCGAGCGGTCACCTCCACCCCCGCAGGGGGAGCGCCCGGAATTCAATAGGCGCCACCAACAGCCACCTGGAGCGCGGGGGAAAGTCGATACCCTAATCCCGGACCGTCTCCGGGGAGCGGCTGGGGGCCCACGCCCCATCGGGAGCCCCGCCCCGGCCGATGCCATGGAGATGGGTCCAATAGAAACAGCCTGGCGGCCGGCCCGGCGCCCCTCCCCCACCGGGCCAGGCGGACACCAGCAGGGGCCTGCGCTCTGCAAATCAGCGGGTCCCCGAGGCCCCCTCCCGCCCACAGCGCAAGGAGTGGCCGAGGGGGCACCGCTGCACATTCTGCCCGGTCGGGTCAACTCCAGGAAAGCACTGTCCTGCGCGGCAGGGAGGGGACGAGGAGCCTGCCTGGCCCGCGGCCAGAGCTCCAGGCTGAAGGTGTTCTTGCCTCACCCAAGGTGAGGGACAAAGGGCGCGGCCACTGCCCTCGGGGGCTGTGCTCTCGGGGCCCAGCTGTTTGCTTCAGTTCAGTTCCCGGCCGGCCGCACGGAGTCCACTGACCTGGACGGCTCACTCCGGCATCCCCACCCCTGAGCTTGCATTTCCATTCCTCCCTAGGAAGGTGCTCCCCCTGCGCCAGGTGTGTGTGTGTGTGTGTGTGTGTGTGTGTGTGTGTGCGCGCGCGCGCGAGCAACACAGCTGGGGGGGGCTGCTTCTGGCTGTCTCTCCTCCCGGTGCGGTGCGGTGTGTGTGTGTGTGTGTGTGTGTGTGTGTGTGTGTGCGCGCGCGCGCGAGCAACACAGCTGGGGGGGGGCTGCTTCTCCCCTCCCCACCCCCAGGGGGAGAGCCAGGCTTAGCTCCTGGCTGTCTCTCCTCCCGGTGCTGGCCAGGGAGGAACCCGCCTGACCGTCTGGCGCAGGTCAATCCGGGGCTGGCCCAGCCTGGTACATGGCGGGCTGGTACGTGGGCTGCTGGAGCCCCGCCAGGCTGGCCGCCCCGCAGGTGCTCCCTCCACTCCGCCCAGCTGTCAATTGAACTGAACTCTGCTGGGCCCCACCAGAAGCATCTAGGAGGGCTTTCCAGGAGGGGGAGAAGTTAGGGCTATCAAATGCGCCTTCTTCCTTTCCTGGAGGGAGCGGGCACTTCCAGTGTTGCTCAAGGCTCACCCTGGATCTGTGTTCAAGGCACCGTGTGCGGTGTCGGGGATGGAACCCTGGTCTCACAGGTGCAAGGCACATGCCTGAACTGCTGAACTGCTGTATGTCACTTGGGCCCCTGGACTTTCTGCTTAAAACTACACAGAGGGATTGTACAGAGCTGAGGGTACAGCCTGCCGTTCCCATATAGAAGGCACCAGGTTCATGCCTGGAACCAAAAACTAGACCAAAATAAACCAACCCACAAAACAGAAAACAAAGGGATGGAGCAACAGTCCAGCAGGGAGGGCATTTACCCGAACGTGGCTGACCCGGGTTCGACCTCCGGCACCCCAAAGGGTCCCCCGAGCACCACCAGGGGTGATCCCTGAGAGGAGAGCCAGGTTTCAGCCTTAAGCACAGCTGAGTAAGGCAGGTTCTGAACTCAGATCCAGAGCAACAAAACCAGAAATCCTCTCTGCTGAAAATTTCCTGTTAGCCCCATTAAAAAGGAAAATGGAGGAAAACACATCTTTTCTTTGTTTTGGGCAATGCCCGGGGCCTCGCACATATGAGACATGAGGATCCTATCAGAGCCCCCCAATACCTTGTTTGACCTATTAGATTCAAAATGGTAACATTTCAACAGGTGACACAGTTTTAAAAATCAGGGGTGGAGGGGCTGAAGCCACAGCACAGTGGGGAGGCCAGCTGCAAGCAGCTGATTGGGGTTCAATCCCAGGCATCCCATCTGGTCCCCTGAGCACAGCCAGGAGTAAGTCCTGAGCATCTCCGGGTGTGGCCCCCAAATAAAACCAAAACAGAACAAATCTCTGGGGGAGAGCACCATGTGACTGACATGAGTAAGGGGCCGGGTCTGACCCCTGCCCTGTGACACCCCTCTCAAGCACTCCTGGGTGTGGTTCTCACAGCAATTAAAATTTATTAGTGGGCAGGAGACATAGTCCAGCGGGTAAGTCCAGTGTAAGTCCAGTGGGAGGATGCTTGGTTTGCACACAGTCAACCCGGGTTCAATCCCGGGTTCATCTTATACGGTTAGTTCCCCACTCCTCCCAGCACTGCCAGGAGTAACCCCTGAGAGCAGGGCTGGGAGAAACAAACTCTGAGAATCACCAGGTGTGGCCCACAAACAAACAAAAACAAACAAAATAAAAGTTATGAGTGGAGAGAGGTCAGAGAGAGACCCCCAGACAGCGCACAGAAGCAGCTCCGGGTCCAGGCCAAAATGCAAAACCACAAAATAAATAAAATGAATGAATTAAATTTAATTAAAAAAAAAAAGGCAGGGCTGGAGCGACAGTAGAAGGATTAAGGCACTTGGCTTGCATGTGACCCTGGTTCCATCCCCGACACCACAGCCCCCGTGCGGCTGAACAGGACCCCCAGATTATTAGTGGAATTCTTCACGTCTGAGGCGATGCTGCTGAGATTCCGTGCTAAAGGCCACAGGTGGCCAGTGGCTGCGTCCAGTCCGAGTTTGAATCTGGTGGCCCTGACCTTAAACTCAGCGGGGGGGAGGGGGGGCGCCTTCAACTCCTGGACGCCAGGGCGCTGCCCCAACCCTGGATGCTGGGGACTCTGCACCTCGTGTGTTTCTGGGGGCTCGGCCCTGCCTGAAACAGAGGTGGAGGGGTGCAAGGTGAGTCATCCTCCCTCTAAGACAGAAGTCAAGGCCAGTCTCTGGGGAGCCCTTGGGGGTCCCAGATTCAGCAGGGCTGGTTCCCAGGACAGGACAGTGGGATGTGGAGACATCGGTTCAGCCACCAGGTGAGGGGCAGCTGAGGAGCCAGTCCCTGCTGGGGGCACCCTGCCCCCTGGCAGCCGTGAGGCCCAGGGGGTCCTTCACCCAGATGACCTGGGGGGGGGAAGGGAGGGAAAGGGGCTGCGGGAGTGGCTAATGGCTGGCCCCAGAGGACCGTGCCTTCGGCGGGTGAGCACTGTGGGCTGAGGCTCCTTCCCTGCAGCCTAAAGAAGGGGGGTGTCGAGAACTCTAGGTCCTCAGAGATCTACTGACTACACCAACAAGCCCCCCGCCTCCCAGCCACTTCTCCCCAGTTGCTCAATGCTCCCCGGGAGGGGAGGGCTGGGGGAGGGACTGGTCCCCCGAATTGACACACAGGGACCCTTTCTGCTTCCCAGAGCATCATCCACAGAACTATTGCTCAGTTACTCAGCAGGGGAGCAGACCCTGGGCACCCCCCCAACTCATGGCTAAAGCAGAGAAAACACAAGCGGTGTGCTCCCCCTCCCACCCTTCCCTGGCTCCCCGCACATGTGGCCCGCAGGGGGACAGGTTGCTCTGAACTGGGTTCTCAAACGGGGATGGCTCCTCCCCGAGTCCCCACCAGCACCCCAGGTGCTCCAGGAATCCGAAGGTAGGTGCCTAAGACCGAGACTCCTTCACTCGTGCATTCATTGGTGCATTCATTCATTCCATCAGATCTCAGTGCACGGTGCCAAACACAGCTGGGGTGAAAAGCACCCCAGGAAAGCCCAGATTTACCCGGAAAGGCAGCCTGCAGTGGGGCAAGAACAGATGATTCCGGCAGTGGGTGAAAGAGAAGAGCTTAGTGTTTGAGGTGATGGGGGGGAGGGGCAGAGTATGGGGAGGTTGGTCCCAGGGATCATGGCAAGCAGAGCGGAAGTTGGAGCCTCATGGGGTCACGGGGCCAGGCTGCGTCCTTGAGAAATCACGGCCGATGGACCCCTTCTGGGCGCCAGGCTGGCCACAATGCACTCACCCCAAGAGCAGGCCCAGGCCCGGCAGCCCCCTGGCGGGTGTGGGACCACTGTGGGGACGTGTGTGTCCCCCAAAACAGAGGCTGAGAGCACTGGGCTCCCAGCCTGGTGTCCCCGTGGGATCCTAGCAGAGGCCACAGCCCTGCTTACACAAGAGGAAGTGGAGGCTTAGCGAGATGAAGGAACTCGGTGGGGCAGCCCAGCTGGGTCCTGGGCTGCCTCAGGCCTGCCCACGTGCCCACGCCATGCTTCAGGTCCAGGCCTCGCCCTGGGTGCTGGTGTGGGGGCAGGAGTGCAGTTGGGACCTGGGGCGGGGGGCACCTCCATCTCCTCCGAGGACCAAAAGCCCTGGTACCCCTGGCCATGCCTCCCTCAGGGGCGGACTACACCTGCCCAGGCTCTGCCAGACTCTCCGAGGAGTGGCTGGTTAGGAAAGAGATAGCGCTTCCAATGCTCAGGAACGCCACGTGGACTTGGGGAGGTCCTGCACGCCCACCCTGCCAATTCATAGGGCTCCTTCTCCCAGGGGTCAGAGCAGGGCTGGTGGTCTGCATAAGCAGGAGGAAGCCTGGGAAGGGGGGGGCTTCGCATTTTCCAGGGGTCCCAACGCCCCTGTTGGGCGGGGAGGGGGGAGCCAAGGGTCAGATCGCCTAGGCCAGGCTTATGAAACTAGACCCTAAGGGGTTGGGGCAATGACCCTTTTCTTTCCTGATGTCACCACTCTGGGGGTGGACATCAGGTTCTGCGCTCCCCCCAGGCAGGCATGACCCCCAGAGGCTGCCTTCCAGATGGCCCAGTGGGGAGCAAGCCTGTTCTCTCAAGCCACCACTGGTGCCGGCAAGCCAACCCAAAAGGGCTGGAAGATCTAACTCGGGGTGCGGGTGGGGTGAAGGAGTTTCTCCATGCCAGGGCTGAAGTCCAAATGAAAAGGGGAATGAGAAATCAATGCCCGAGGCACAAAGTTCAACCTGGGTCCTTGCCTAGGGCCAGAGGTCGGATCCCCGCACCCGCCCTGCTGCCCGCCCGCTGCCCTGCTCCGATCCCTCCCCAACCTTGCAGGTGCCCCAACGCGCACTTGGCAGTGGCAGGAAGTGGCAGACTGGCAGTCCTGGCGGTCCTGGCTGGCACCCACCTCAGGCTCCCGGTGACCTCACTTCCTCTACTTCCACCAAACCAGTTGGTCCTCCCGGGTGCCACCTTCCACCTTCCGGCTGTGCCCTTTCTCTGCCTGGGGGGCACCAAGGACACCGGCCACACACAGCTGCCAGGGTTGGAACCAGGCTCCTACCCCCAGGGTCAGCCTCCCCCAACCCCCCACACCTCTCTTTGGTGGGAGGGGTGCACAGCTCTGCTCCCACCGAGCATCCGACTGAAGTTGGGGGGGGTAACACCATGCAAACAGTAAACAGCCTGGGGCCTGAGACCACTCCCTTGGCTCCTGCTACCAGCCCGTGCTAACTCCTCACATTCCAGAGAACCATAAACCTGCGGCCAGGGAGACGCCTCCTCGCCTCCTCCCCGCCCCCACGCGGCCGGCCCAGGGCGCGGGGCTTCCCCCTGTCTTTCTCAGGACCCGGGAGGGTGAAGTCCGGCGGTGGGAGTTAATGATACACGCGGCAGCAGGGTGCGGGCGACCCCCACCCCCGCCCCCTGCGGGGCTCCCGCGACCACTCCGTAACCTTGTCGGGAGAAGGGGGTCTGGGCCACGCCCGGCGGTGCTCAGGGCTGACTCCCGGCTCTGCACTCTGGGGTCACTCCTGGCGCGGCCGGGTGGGGAGCCTCTGGGGCGCGGGGGATTTCGCGAACCCGGGTCGGCCCGCTGACCCATGTCTCGGGACTCAGCTCCACATCCTTAAGGAATGGGGGCCCGGGCTGGAGTGGGGGCGGGAGTCCTGCAACGTTCAGAGACGCCTGTCTCCAGCACCGGGAGAAAGGGGGTTGCCTGTTCTCCTGCACCCCAAGTCCCGAAGACCCAGGGACGGGGGGTGACGCGCGGCCCAGGCGACGCTCGGGGCAGCGCCGAGTGTGGAAAGGGGGTGGTGGCGGGGTCCCCGGCGGGCGCCCCCAGAAAGCTGCCGACGTGTCGGGGCGGCCGACTCCCTCCGGGGATCGGGTTTCACAAGGACGCTGCGGGCGCGGGCTGGGCTTCCGGGGCGCCCGGCTCCCCCACTTCCCCCTCCCGGCCGGCCGGCCGGCCCCGCGCTTACCCGCTCCGGGACGCTCTTCTCGGCGGCGCGCGACTCCGGCGCGGCCCGCGGGGCCTCGTCCTCCGTGCGCGCGTCGGGCGCGTCGCGGGCGCGCAGCAGCTCCCCGCGGACCTGCACCCCGAGCATCTGGAAGTGCGCGTCCGCGTCGGGGTCGACCACCAGCAGGCGCACGGCGCCCGGCGCGGTGCGGATGCGGCTCACCACCTGCTGGTGCGTCTCCTTCTCCACGTTCTCGTCGTTCACTTCCACCAGCCGGTCTCCCGCCAGCAGCCCCGCCTTCTCGGCCGGGGAGCCGGGCTCCACCAGCCGGATGAACTGGCCCAGCTTGCCCTTCTCCCCGTGCAGGTGGAAGCCGTAGCCGCTGGGACCCTTCTCCAGGCAGCAGAGCCGGGGCAGGGGCTCCACGGCCGCCGAGTTCGCGCTCATCGTGCCGGAAGGCGGTTCAGCGGCGCGCGGCGGAGGCTCGTCGAGGGCCCGGGACGGGCCGGGCTGGCCCTTCGGATCGTCGCCCTGCCGCTCGGGCGGCGACGGCGAGCGCGGCCGGGGTGCCCGGCGTCGCGGCGCGGGCGGAGCGAACAGGTGTCCCGGGACCGCGAAGCCCGAGAAGCAGCGTGACCAATCCCACCTCCGCGCGGAGTCTGAGCGCTCCAGAACCCGCCCCGCTCCTTAATTCCGGGGGCGGGGCTGCGGCGAGGGTGTGGAACTCCGGCCACCAATCAGAAGACGCAGTGCGGAGCCGCTCGGGCCGGGTGAAGCGCCCGGACCAATGGGAGCGCGCAGGGGCGGAGCCCCGTGCCGGGCCTGGCGCCCCGCGGCGGGAGAAGAAAGCGCTCAGGAAGTGGAAGTGTTTGTTACCAAGTGGCCCGAGTCGGGGCTGGGGGCGGGGCGAGTTTCCCGGGCTGGATGGGCTGGACGGACTGTCCGTCTTGTCTCTCTCCTGGTTTCCCGTACACTCCCTCCAGGTTTTTCCCACCTGTGGCAGGGAACGAGGCGAACCAGCTCAGACGTCAAGAACTCTTGGCTGTTTCTTTGGACCACACCCGGCGGCTGTTCCCGGGCAACTCCCGGCTCTGTGCTCAGCGGTTGCTCCCCGCAGTGCTTGGGGGTCCTTGTTGTTCCCCAGGCCCGAACCTTCTGGCCTTCCAGGAGCCTGAGCTCAGCCTGCCGAGCTATCACTTCAGTTCAGGACCCCAGTTTCTTTCTGGGGGCGCCCTTTGCGGTACTCATGGTGGGGTGCAGGTTCCCAGAGCTATAATGTCCTGGTCATTCCACCTTGCACCCAACAGAGATGTTCCGATAAGGAGATTTCCCAGGGTGTGGGTCCCCTCACGGGGTGCCTGGGCTGCATGTCGCTGCCAGTGTGGGGGCTCCCAAGGCTGCCCTCTGAAGTCAGGCTGCCACTGGTGTGGACATAGGTGTCAGCGGGTAGCAGGGAGAGGCAGAAAAGACAGGTACCCCGATGCTGCATTCAGTCCAAAAGAGCCCCTGGACTTTTTCACTAGAGAAAAAATTCATCAGAGCTTCAGTTCAGCCTTCTTCCAGCTCCCCTTGTCCAAGACAGGTGGGTGTTCCCAAAGGCAGGGTGGGGGACAGTCTGAAGGGTGGGGTGACCAGTTGGGGACACTGACTGCTGAGGAATGGTTGAATTGGGTAGTCAATGACAATTCCCTCCTAACCTGATCCCCACCTTCTCTGCTTGCTCACCCCTCAAAGAAGCCGTGGACAGGGCATACTTTCCAAAATACTGCGATTTAATTCCGCAAAACACAAAAGCAAGAGGCTCAGAGCAGCCGCCAAGATTGGGTTGCCGGTGACCAGCCAACAGCCCCCCCCAGCCCCCCCCCCCACTCCTGCCTCCCCTTCAGAGAACCTGGCAAGGTCAGGCTCGGACAGGTCACGCCGACCACAGCTTCCACTGGGCGCTGTGGGAGCTGCGGCCTGCTCGGAGCAGGGGTTCTGCCCCAAGAGCAAAGGCAGGCGCCTCCCCGGTGTGCTGGAGGATCTTCCTCCTCCCTCTCCCCATCCAGCAGGGAGCCTGGGAGTCCAGTCCTGCCAGCTCTTGTCTGTCTCCCAGAGCTGGGGTCAGGGCTTGGGGATCAGGTGACCTTGTCCCAACATAAATGTGCCCCTCTTCTGCACACAGGCTTGTGGGTCACACCCAGGGCCTCCCACCCCTCACCTGCAGATAAAGGCATACAGCCCTCCCAGTCGCCCCGCCTGCTCTGTGGCACAGGGGTTTTTCTATCTCCCTCTCCGCCCCGGGGGAGGCACGCGAGCTCTCTGAAGTTGCCCGCAGGCTTGCATACCTGGGGAGGGACGGGAGAACAGGCCCTGTGACCTTAGCTGTCGAGAGACACTGGTAGAAAGGTGCAGGAGAGCAAGACTCGGGGAGGAGGGGCTCCCCGGGGACCTGAGGTCCAGGAAACAGGAGCCGAATGTCTCCAAGTGCCCTAAGGTGCTTTGATGCTAGAGGGGAGGTGGGGAAGGGGGGGTTTGTCCCCCTTCCCAGGGGGCCCCAGGAAGGCAGGCGGGAGCCAGTCAGCAGATGGATAGCGAATCTGAACCCCTCGGAAGGCCTTGGTCCTGGCCCCACCTCCACATTCCCGGCCTCTTCTCTTCCCCGAGCCGGGTCAGTCCAGCTCCCACACTGCAGGGGGCTTCTCGGACCAGCGGGTTCCCTAAGGCTGGAGTGGACCCGCCTTTCCCCAGAAGCCTGCTCCGACTCCCCGCCCCGGTGCACCAGCGCCCCCTGGTGCTTAATTGCCGCAACACCACCCTAGAGGGCAAAAGGCCCATCAGGTACCCTGCAGGATACTTTTGTTTTTCCCGATGATGATGATGATGATTACTATTATTTTGGATATTGAATTATGTCTCTTCTAAATATTTCACCCTTTCTGGGGACACACGGAAGCTCTAGGAATTAGGGCAGAGGGCTGGGGGAGATGCTGGGCCCTAGGCTCCCCCAGCTCCCCGCTGAGGTCTGCGGGCGCAGGTGGCACCCTCATGGCCCCTGGGGTTCACGCGAAGGAGCAGCAGCTAGGTCGCTTCCTCTGGGCTTCTACATAGTCTCGGATCTGGAAGCTGGGTTCGTAGGCCTGGGCGTCCCGGCGGGCTCGGTACTTCAGCTCCCTTCAGGAATAAGCAATGGGTTGAGCAGAGCAGGAGGGGCCGAGCCCCCCATTCCTGCCGCCCGCAGCACTCCCGCACTTGGATGCACCATGCACTCGGGCACTGGCAGCTGCTCCCACCCTGCCCCACTCAGCTTCTCACTTGGCGATGGCCAGAAACGCCAGCTCCACATTCATGCCTGTCTTGGCGCTGGTCTCCATGAAGGGGACTCCGTACTCCTGCCGGAGAGACGGTCTTTAGGGCAGCCCTTCCCGCCCCGCCCCCGCCCTGCGCCCAGGCTGCCACTCACCCTGGCCAGTGTCTCGCCGTCCTCGGAACGGATCACTCTCTCACCGCTCACATCCGCCTGTCAAGCCCAGGAGGGTCACGGGGGAGGGATGCCCCTTCCCCACTTCTGCCCCGGCCCGCCCAGCGTTTTGCCCCGGGAGCAGCCCCACCCGCCCTCTGCTGGCGGCCTGGGGGGTTGCAGGCGGCGCTCCTGGCTTGGCGTTACTGCTCAGGGCTGAAAACTACCCGGTTTCCAGGCAGCTGTGGGAGGAGGTGGGTAACTTTCCTCGGCCAAGGTGTGGGGACCCAGCCTCAGAGGAGGGGCCGTCACAGGGAGGAACGCTTTTGAATCATGGCTCCGTATCCTTGCCCCATTCACTCCCCCCTAACCGGGGTCCAACAACTGGGCATCCTTTAGGGGACTGGCCTTCCTGGGGCTGGGCAGGGCATTTGCACAGATGACAGGGCTGAATCCCCTCAGGGAGATGTGACCTTGAACTGAAGCCTGGAAGGAGTCTTTGACCGGAAGGACAAGCAGCAAACACTCTGGGGTGGCCAGGTCGAGCTGAGGCCAAGATGGGTGGAGCTCAGGGTAAGCCCAGGACAAGGTGCCAAGGGAGGGAGCCCCGTCACTCACCTTGTTACCTAGCAACATGATCACCACATCCCTCTGGGCATACTCGTGAATCTCTGTGAGCCAGGCCTGTGGGAGAGGCAGCTGAGCCCAACTGTGCTCCTGCCTTCACCCTGCCCCCTTCTCTTCCGTTGGGTGATCCCAGGCTCCCCTCTGCTGCCCTCCCACTTGCTTCGCTGTCTGGCCTCCCTGGCCCCCCCTTGGGCCCCCATATAGAGAGCTCTCAGGTCTATGACCAGCAGGGAGTCTCTGGAGCATTCCACGGCCACATAAAGGTGAGGTCATCGAAAGCTCTGTGAGTGATTGGCGATGTCTGCCCTGGGCACGTGGGTGAGGCCAGGGGTTTCCCAGCCCATTTATAAGCTGTCTAGTAACATCTCGTTCTTCCCCCAGTTTGTTGCTCCCAACCGGAGGTCACAGAGCGCAGGAGACCTCCTCAATGCCATGCCAGCACTCAGCTGTTCTCATCCTCATCTCTGCGCCTTGACGGCAAGATGGAGCAGCTGGCTCTGGGTGCCTTTCTCACAAATGGGGTTGGATTCTACTCTGGGCTCTCCCCGTAATTGTGCAGGGTGGGGCCAAGAACTTTCTGAACTCTTTGTTATGAAATGCACTTGGGTATGAATCACAGCCGGGAGCGGGTGGTGCCGACACAGCAGCTCCGTGCTTTGCCTCCACGCTGGTTTATTACCCCTGAGTCATGGCTCAGGTGTTCTGCAGGCATCAGCAGGGCTCCAGCGCTCTCCCTCCTCCCCCCTGCAAGGAGCAATAGTGGTCCTGGCTGCTGCTAGGGGCAGACGACCACCTACCCTGATGTTGTCGAAGGAAGACCTATTGGTGATGTCGTACAGAAGGAGCAGGGCTGCAGAGGAGAGAGACCACAGAGGGGCTCAGGGAAGCACCGGGGGTGTGGTGGGGACCCCGAGGGGGCCTCGGACTCCACCAGCTGCTTACCCTGGGCATCTCGGTAGTACGCGTGGGTGACGCTGCGGAACCTTTCCTGCCCCGCTGTGTCCCAGATCTAGGAGGAGGACAGGCAGAGGATGAGAAGGAGGAGGGGTGCAGGGCTGTGCTGGGCAGAGGGCACCCCTGCGGGGCATGAGAGCTGAGTGGGAAGGCAGAACATTTTCCTATCTTTCATTTCCACAGGCTTCCGGGGGAGGGGCTGCTGTTTTATTATTTTTGTTTGGGGGACACGTGCGGCGATGCTCGGGGGTTCCTCCTGGCTCTGCACTCAGGGATCACTCCTGGTGGTGCTTGGGATCATGCGGGATGCCTGGATCAAACCCAGGTGAGCCGTGTGCGAGGCAAACGCCCTCCGCGCTGTACTATGTCCTTTCTGGAGAGTTCCAGCACCTTTGCTCTCGCCTCTGGAGCCCCCGAGGCCTGGGGAAACTGGGGAGGGGCCAGAGGCAACCCCGAGAGCTGTCTCTGGGGCTCTGAGGTGCCCTGGAGAGGACAGTGGTGTCTGGGAACTGTTTTTCTGCAGACATCAAACAAACAAAACCCCATTTCCTCTGGGGCCCACAGGAAATGACCCCCCCTCCCAGCTGAGGGCCTGGCCGCAGACCTGTGGTTGGGTTTGGGGTGGGGGCTTGAAAGACAGGGCCCCTTGTCGTCCCCTTCCACCATCTCACCTGCAGCTTCACCCTCACTCCGTCCACCGTCACCACCTTGTTCTGCAAGAGAAGAGAGGGCTGCGGGCGCCTGGTGCGGGCTGCCAGCTCTGCTTTCTGGCCCTGGGAGTCAGACTGGGGGTGTGGTGACCTCGATGTCTCCATCCAGATCCCCCCCAATGAGACCGCTCTTTCTGCCAGGGTGTGGGCATGGCGGGCTCTCCCTGGGGCTCCCCAGGTGGCACGTGATTGGGCACTGGGGGGCCTGGCCCCCCTTCCCCCTCCACCTTCCTCTCCAGTAGCTTCACCCCATCTGCGCCCCTGCCCCCCGGGGCCTCTCAGGCTGGTTCTACTGTATTGTCTTCCCTCTAGACCCCCCTCTCCTGGGGACAGAAGCCTCCTGGGGCTCCGGTCGGCCCAGCTGGGGGCTGTGCTCAGCACCCCTGATGCCCACTAGGTCCAGTGAAGCAGCTGGCGGCTCTTTCCTCACAAGGCTTGGCCCTCCTGGGGTTCTGGGAAGATGGGGTGACCCCCAAGGAGGGCGGTGGGCAGCCCTGGTAGGGCAGCCGGGGGAATCCGTCTCGCCTTTGTACGGCCCCCAAGGAGGTGGGGACCCTTACCCAGACTCCTCCAGTCCCAAGGGCCACGCCGCGAAGCCCAGAACCCCGGGGCACCCTGGGCGGGGGAGGAGCCTGCAGCCCCCTCACCCTGAAGTCTATGCCGACCGTGGCTAGGAACGTCCCGGACAGGAAGGCCCCGTCTTTGAATTGGATCAGGAAACAGGTTTTGCCGACGCCCGAGTCTCCCAGAAGCATCACCTAGAGTTGGGTGCAGAGGCAGTTAATGGGCAGTTTGGGGGCGCCCGGGAGGGGGGACCTGGACAAAGCAGCAGAAGGCCGGGGGGGGCACCCCGCCCCTTTCCTCCTCGAAGGCTGACCTCGTGTTGGTTGCTTCTCTGGGATCCTTGGGAAGCCCCACTGAGATCTCAGCACCCATGTGTCCCTGGATGCGCCCCAGCGCCACCAAATTTTTGTGGTCTAAGGATGGACCATGCCAAGTCCCTGACCCCCTCCCACCCCCCGCAGACCCCATGCATTCCAGGCAGGAGCACATGAGATGGGTGCAGGTGGGGGGCCTGGAAAGAAAAGTGTAAACTGCAGGCAGCATCTGGGATCTGGGGGGCAGGAGACTGACCTTTGCAAAGGCGGAGTCTAAAGAGTGTGTGTGTGTGTGTGTGTGTGTGTGTGAGAGAGAGAGAGTGAGAGAGAGAAAGAGAGAGAGAGAGAAAGAGAAATAGAGAAATATATATAGAGAGAACTTAGATATGTAAGTTTCATACTCTCATAGTCTAATTGTGTGTGTGAGGGGTGTGTGTGTGTGTGTGTGTGTGTGTGTGTGTGTGTGTGAGAGAGAGAGAGAGAGAGAGAACTCAAGAAATTTTACATGTAAGTTTCTTGCTTGTATTTGTTGTGTCGCAGCGGGCAGTGCTCAGGGTTTACTCCCAGCTCTGTGCTCAGGGATTAGTACTGATGGTGCTCAGGGACCCTCTGGGGTGCCGCCATGTGCAGACAAGCGCCTTCCCTGCTGTGCTCTCTCTCCACCTCTCTCACATCCAACAGTGTTCTGGCTCAGTGCTCAGTGCTGGGGGATCATTTCTGGCGGGGCTTGGGAGACCGCCTGGTGCTGGGGGCGAAACCTGGGTTTCCAGCACGCAAAGCCCTCACAGCCCTATCTGTGCCTCTCTAAGGACATTTTCTGTTTACAAAGTAGTCGCCTTCCCCTTTAGGGCTGGGGAACAGACAGTGGGCGGTGTTTAGTCTGAGTCTCTGAAGAGGGCAGGAGTCTGGGGAGGGAGGGTATATGGGCGTGTCCCTCCCTTCTCTGGCCAGTTCTGCTCTTCCTCTCCGAGGCACAGGGCCAGAGGGTGGGGGGGTGGGGGCCCACGGGACAGAGGTGTGGACTGAATGCTGCCCTAGACACATCGGGGGTAGAGCTGTTAGGACAATCAATGCGCAGGCCTTCCTGCAGTGGGCGGAGGGCACAGAGGGAAGGGTCAGGTGCATGGGGGCGGCCACTGGGCTTGTAAGTGACACCTGGCAGGAAGGCATTTGGGGGAGGGCCCTCGGTTCTCTCTATATGAATTGGTCTCTGTAGTGGCTAGGCAGGAAGGGGAACTTTTTAATTTTTTTTCAGGGGGGCACACCTATATAGAGACGCTCAGGGGCTGCTCTGGGTTCAGTGCTCGGGAGATTCTGCGGTGAGATTCTGGGAGATTCTGGGAGAACTCTCGCCTCTGAGCCAGCCTGGGAGCTTTGTTTGTTTGTATTCTGGGCCACACCCGGGATGTGCAAGGTTGACTCCTGGCTCTGCACTCAGGAATTAGTCCTGGCGGTGCTTGGGGGACTGTATGGGATTCCGGGGATCGAACCTGGGTCAGCCGTGTGCTAGGCAAGTGCCCTCCCCACTGTACTATGGCTCCAGCCCCCACTTTGTGGAGACTTTTCTAGGTCACTCATGTGGCTGTGACTCCTGAGACTGCCAGAGCGGCGCAGGGGTGCAGTCCTTCCTCCTGTGCCCACTCCCTCACTTCTCTAGCCAGTCCCAGGTGCCTTGAGGCTCCTTCCTCCTGAACCGCCCTGGAGGCAGGGGGCGGTGTGGGCCAGTGGTTAGTGACATTGCTCTCTGCATAGAAGCTGTTGTTGGGGGCATGGCACAGGTGGGCTACCCGCTGGTGGCTGGGGCCAGCCCAGCTCCCTGGCTGCCAGGCCCAGCCCTCCAGGGAAGGAGGGTGGGTGGGGAGGCCTGTGTACTTTACAGATCACAGCTGTCTCCAGCCGATGCCATCAAACACAAACAGCTGCTCAGCTGGCCACCCTCTAGGCAAACAGCAGCCGCCCTATCAGCGGGGAGGCCAAGCAGGCCTGGGACTGTTCTTCAGTTGCCCTGCCCCTTCCCCCAAAGGCGCAGGGGCCCGTTTCCTGTCTGGGCTGCACAGGACGCCTATCTCAACGGCTGGGGGCGGGTGACATGCAGGCAGGCCTGCGTTCCCTGCAGGATGGGGGAGGGGACCCCAACTGGGTGCAGAGCGAACCCCTGCTCCTGCATGCAGGTCTCCTTGGAGGGCATGGCTAGAGGGCAGCGCCCCACCCCCCCCATTCCCCGTCGATGCCCCCATCCCCCCCAAAGACAAGCCTTTGGATGGAGGCTGGGCACCTCCTTCCCCCTGGTACCTGCCCGCCCCAAGGGACAGATGGAGGTCACAGTCACCCCTTCCAGCTCCTTTCAGGGCAGGTCTGCAGAGGGAAGGAGCTAGGCCTGGCGGAAGTGCTCGAAAGGTCGGGTGTGCGTGAGCAAGGGGGGGAGCAAGTTTGCAACTGCCTGAAGATCTTTCTCAGGTTCTAAAAATGCCCAGGTGAACCTACATTCCGACTAGCAGCTTCCTCGCGGAAGAAGGCGCCAGGCAGTGACAGCTGGGGTGCAAACAGAAGGGGCAGGGTCTAGGGGTGCGGGGGGGGGGGGCCCAAAGCCTGGAAACTCGACGCCCGGCCTCAGCGGCGCTTTCAGCCCGAATGGAGAAGGGCAGGGGCTGCCGGGAGCCCCCCGCCAGGGGGCGCCCTCTCCAGGCATCCCAGTTAACCCGGCCCGGCGCGGCGGGGGAGGGTCCGCCCCTTCCCCACCGACCCAGGGCCTGGCCCCGGGGCACGCATCTTGGCCGCGCGTGGCGGGAGGCAGCTGGCGGCGTGCCCCGACCCAACTCACCGCCCGCCCCACCCCGCCCCTCCCCGCCGCGCCGGCTCAGACCCCCGGGGTCGCTGGGGCGCAGGGCCTGGGTCTCCCCACTGTCGCCTCCGAGCCCGGCGCCCACCGACAGGCTGGTCGGTGGAGAAGGCGCCCAGGCGCGGAGAGATGTGGGGGGCCCCGGCGAAGCGCGCCGCGCGCACCCACCTTGCCCTTGAGGTCGTAGCTCGCACTGCAGGGCGAGGAGCGCTCGGGGGTCTCGCCCTCCCGGCTGGCCCCCGCGCGGGACGTGCCGGTCATGGCCTGGAGACAACGAGCCGGACCCCGCGGCGCGGGCGGCCCGGAACGGCCCCGCCCCGGCTCCACCCCGTGCCCGCCCCGGCGGCCCGGGGCGGCCAGGCCCGGACAGGCTCCTCCCCGGACCCGACAGAGTCCTCCCGGGGACCCCGAGAAGCTCATCCCTGGACCCCGACAGACTCCTCCCGGGGTCCCCGACAGGCTCCTTCCCAGACCCCGACAGAGTCCTCCCGGGGACCCGACAGTCCTCCCGGGGACCCAGAGAGGCTCATCCCTGAACCCCGACAGTCTTCCGGGGACCCCGAGAGGCTCATCCCTGGACCCCGACAGAGTCCTCCCAGGGACCCCGACAGACTCCCCCAGACCCCGACAGGCTCCTGCCCGGGACCCCGACAGACTCCCCCAGACCCCAACAGATTTCCCCGGACCCCGATAGGTTCCTCCCCCGGACCTCGATAGGCTCCTCCGACAGACCCCGACAGACTCCCCCGGACCCCGACAGGCTCCTCTCTGGGCCCCGCCGCTTCGCACAGCTTCAGGGGTCCGAGCGGTCCTTCCTCGAGGGCGCGGCCACCCGGATCCGCGCACCAGAGCAGGCGCGCCCGCGCTGGGCACCAGCTTCGTGTCCGAGCACCGGGTCCAATCCAGTTCCGGGACCCGTCTCTGCTGGCGGCGGTGTCAGCCGGATTTAGGGGCCCCGAGACCCGCCTGCTAGGGAACGTCCCGCCTCGCCGGCTCGGAGGAGGGAGGCGGAGACCATCGCTCAGACTCCCGCTGCCATTGCGCGGGGCGTCCAGCAGGCGGCGCACTAACCCCGGCCGGCCTTTGGGAACAGGTGGCCTGGGGGGCGGGGTGTGACAGGGCCGCCCCTGGGCCTAGGGATGCGGCGGTTGAGGAGGCGGGCATCCTGCGGACTTTGCCCAGCAGAGTCGCTTTTGCTTCTGCACACCACGGAGGTCTTCCTAAATACCCCTTTTAGCCACCTTTTTTTTTTGGTTTGTTTTTGGGCCACACCCTGCGCTGCTCAGGAGTTACTCCCAGCTCTGTGCTCAGGAATTACTCCTCACAGGGCTCACGGGTTCAAACCCATGTCGGCCGAGTGCAAGGAAAGTGCCTTACCTACTGTACTGCGGCTCTAGCCCTGCTGATGGGCGCATTGAAGAACACTGTCTTAGCCCTCTCGGAGGGTCGCTGGTCAGGTCAGTGCTTGGATTCAGATGGACACCTCATCTCCCCCCTGTTGTTGATTTGTGCCTAGAGTGTCCCGCCATGCCAGTCTTGCAGGTGGGCACCTCCCGCTGCAGGCTGTGCAGGAGGCTGGGGTGACCTAATCGTGTGTGCCGCCTACCCTGGCACCGGTGCTCAGGGCCACAGACAGGGTGGTGTGTTAGAAAGGGGCTCTTTGGGGGGATATGTGGGGGCTCCTGGGCAAATATGGCTTAGGACTGTGGCAGAGCCAATGGGGTCTGTGTGCAAAACTAACCCGAGTTCTGGCCTCGGCTCCAGCCCGTTCCTGGGGGGGGCATGCCTGGACCCTGTCTGCAGATGCACGCTCAGACACCTGGGGCCCCCTGCAGGTGCTCCTTCCTGACAGGGGGTGCCATTGGGTGCCAAGGATGCCTGTGCATTCAGTGTCCTGGGCTCTGGGTGCTGGGGGGCTTCCACAGGGAGCCTGCAGGGACGGGTCGGCTGAGGGACAAGAATGAGAGTGAGACTCAGAGGCCTTCCACAGGAAGTGGCCTTCCCCCTGGCCTTCCACTGGAAACCAAGCTGTGTGGGTTAGGTTGGGTTCCCCCGCAGGCCCCCAGGATAAGCTAAAAATCCCTCACTCTGCCTCACCCAGAACGTGATCACGCGGGGTCACAGAGCATATTCCAGTGACAAAGTGATCACTGCTCACAGGTACCCTTGCCCAATATAACAGTTGGGGCTGGACCGATAGGACAGTGGGGAGCTCATTTGCCTTGTTTATAGCCTCCTGAGTTTGATCCTCAGCATCCCATAGAGTCCCCCAAGCACCATCAGAAGTGATTCCTGAGTGCAGAGCCAGGAGGAACCCCTGAGCATCGCTGGGTGCGGCCCCAAAACAAAAACAAAACAAAACAAAAACAAAACAAAACCAAAAAAACCAATACAATGGAGCTGTGTGAGGAAGAGGAGGCCGCACGAGACAGAGGCCGGATTGGGGGACAGAAACAAGGACCCCCAGGGATGACTGGGAGCCACCAAAAGTGGTAAGAGGAGAGGGAGGATGCCTCTCTGACCTCTTCAGTAAATGGCCCGAGGTCACTTGTCTGGGGCTCTCCGATCAATGCCTATGGTTTGTGTGTGGCTCCACTAAGACCCTCTTGGCCCCCTGGTGGATTGGAACAGCCAAGATGGCCCATCAGTTGAATGTTCCAGAAGGAATCAAGAAATAGAAGCACAGCCTGCAACATCACTTCAGGAAAACGTTCATCAACACCGCAGAGAGGCGGGCGGGCTCCTCTCTCGGGCCTGCCCACCCACTGGGTCGGTGGCATGCTCAGGGCAGCCCTGAGGCAGAAGGGCATCAGGGAGCTGCAGAGTTGGGATGCTGGGGAGGCGGGTTTCTCCCCAAAGAAAGGATACATACTTATAAGGTATGTGGTAGCCAGAAGAAGCCAAGAACACCCTTCCAGGAAGTTCAGGTCACTTCCCCCAGCAGTTTTTGTTTTCTCCAAATACCCACCCTCATACCGCACAACCTCACAGTGTAGGGAGGCATGTACCCAATACCATCTCAGACATACATGTGCAATCCTCACACTACAGAAACACATATACTTCATACCACAGACACACATTCTTCATACTATCTCAGACATGTACTTGCCCATACCTGAGACCCATCTATACAGACCTCACACCAGAGATGTACACACACCTGGTACTAGTTTCCAGAGGCACATCTCACACCACTGGCAGACACACCTCTCACCACAGACACACACTCCACATCACATACTACGCTCAGATACACACCTCACATAGTAGATGCCCCGTACCTCATTCCAGAGAGACACATGTGATATTTTAAACAAGCACAACTCCAGAGACAGGCTGACCATCACACATGTTACACTCCGTCTCAGACACACACACACACCTCATACAAAAGAAGCACAAATGTCCTGAACCCACACACTTGTCCTCCAGCACACACCGCACACTGTACTGAGACACAGACTGCTCATATCATACCACATACATACATGCCTCACACCACACTCAGACTTGAAATTGTACCGCAGATATAATTTGTGCCATGTTACAATCACACAAACCTCATAGCATAACAAAACCCATAGTTCTTAGATCACACCCATAGACACTCCGTACAACATGAACACACAGTGTCTCAGACACTCAACTCACACCTCTCCCCTTCAGACATGTGCCCCTAAGACACAAGTTCCTCACAAGTGTCCCCCTTAGACATGTACTGCTCACACGTGTTCCCACTCAGGCAAGGGCTCCTCAAACATATCCCTCTCAGACACATATTTCTCACACATATCCCCCATAGACACGTGCCCCTCATACCTGTCCCCCTCAGGCAAGGGCCACTCACACGTGGTCCCCTCAGGCACGTGCCCCTCACACGTGGCCCCTCATTCACGTGCCCCTCACACATGACCCCTCAGGCACGTGCCCCTCACATGTGACCCTCCAGGCATGTGCTTCTCACACGTGTCCCCCCTCAGGCATGTGCCCCCACACGTGTTTCCCTCAGCCCCTCTCAGGCACGTGCCTGTCTTACCTGTCCCCCCTCAGGCACGTGCCCCTCACATGTGTCCCACAGGTACATGCCTCCCACAGATTTCTCCCTCAGGCACGTGCCCCTCACACGTGACCCCTCATTCAAGTGCCCCTCACACGTGACCCCTCAGGTCGTGCCCCTCACATGTGTTCCTCACAGGCACATACCCCTCACATGTGTCCCCCTCAGGGACGTTCCCCTCAAGCGTGTCTCAGTCACTTGCTCTTTACACCTGGCCCCCAGAGGCATGTGCCCCTCACACGTGTCCTCCTCATTCACTGAGTCTCTATCTCTTCATAGTTGCTGATACAGCTCACACCTGCCACTCACACCCACATCATACCTCAACCCACACTCACGTGTTATCCCTCAGGATCAGTGCCCTCCGCAATAATTCCCCCCCCCCACCCACACACGGTTACCAGCTTCAGTGCCTCTCCCCAAGCCCTGAGGTCCTGCTGTGCTGCTCCCCTCCTAACCCTCACACTTGCCCCATGGAGAGCCTTTGAGGGATCGAGGAGGTGTGGGCAGGGGCCCTTAGAGTCAGAAGGACCTTCAGAGCAGGAGAGCCAGCGAGGATGGCCGTGTGTGGGGAATCCCGCCATCAGTTTGTGAGGGCAGGAGTGCAGGAGGGGTCAGACTTCACACAGCCAAAGCGTGCTGGGGGTGGCGCTGGCCTGGACTGTCACTTGTGGGGGGGTGGCACCCAGCAGTGCTCAGGGCTTACTCCTGACTCTGCACTCCAATTCCTAGGAGGGTTTGGGGGACCAGATGGGGTGCTGGGGGTTCCGGTCCCTGACCTTTTTTTTTTTTTTAATTCATGTGTGAGCAAGACTGGGGGAAATTGAGGCATGAAGAGGGTAGGGAGAACAGAGTACTCTGTGTCTGGCAACTGTGTCTGTCCAGGGGTGCCAGCACTGGTACCCCAGCAAACTCCTCCACCCCACACAGCGGTCAGGGGGTGATGGAGCCGCTGAGGGGCATGGGAGCCCCAGATCTGAAGTGCTTCTTCCAGGAGGCTGGACTGAGGGTGCTGCTGGGTCAGGGGGTGACCCCTCCCTTTCAGTCTGACACAAAGCCGGGCCTCTGCCGCCATCCAGCCTGTGGTCCGGATGGCAGCCCCAGGTATACCTTCTGAAGGAACAGATACCCCACCCCGGACCCAGCCCTTGGGTCTAGGAGGAACTGAAGGGGGTTGCTGTGCAGAGCAGTGACTCAGAGCAAGGTGTGGGGGCACCCCCAGGTTTCTCCTGGGGTGCCTTCAGCTGTCTGGGCATCAGGGGTGCCAAAGCCCAAGCCCAGGCTCCCAGGGGCCCCAACACCCCCTCCTCAGGCAGGTGGCGTCTCACCCTCTTACCCCATCCTGTGCATCTGTGGGGTGTGAGTTTGAAGGTTCACACTTCACCCCTGTTCAGCGCACTCTGCACGCCATGACAGGGTGTGTGTGGGGAGAATGTGATCAGCAAAACAGACTCTGGGGCTTGTGATGTGTGGAGGGACCCCTGAGCATCTCCCTACCAGTGGCCAGGGTGAGAGAGTGGCTGAGGGGTGCTGGGAGCCCTGGGCCGGAAGCGCTTTTCCCAGAAGGCTGGGCCGGGGGGCTGCTGGGTGAGGCCAGTGGTGACCCTCCATCAGCCTCCTCAGGAGCCCACAGGAGCCACAGCCCGGGGCTCAGGGCCCTCCCCAGGGTTGGGGCCCAGCCAGGCTGGCCTGGGGCCTCTGGCTACAGGCCAGCATGGAAATAGGAGCCCCACCCCCACCCATGCCTCTGTGAGCCTGAGGGTCACACCCGCTCACACACCTCACTCTGTACCTCTGACAGGCTAGAGGTGTGAGGAGAGCTTCACTCAGGGCTGGGGGGCCTGGGCTGAGGACCTTGAGCCACACCCTTGGGGGCCTGGACTGTGGACCCTGAGCCACACCCCCCACTACCCTCTGCTCCTGTCTGGGTCTCTGGGACCAGCTCTGGGGACCCCAACTCCAGGCCCTGCCCTCACCCTGAAAGGCTCCTCTCCCTGCTTCCCAGGGACCCCGTCATCCTGAGCCCTCCCCTTCCTCGATGGCACCCCACAGGCACGCCCAGATCCTGGGGGGGTCCCCTCTCCTGTCTCCCTCGTTGGGAGTGTCCCTGAGTGGGGCCGTGTCCCCGAGTGGGGCCTCTGTGCTTGCTGGGACCCGAACGTGACTGTGGGTCTTGCTCAACCCCCAGTCCTAGGAGGCCCCAGTGGATGGTCCTAGAGGGCCTGGGGGAGATGGGCCCCTCCCCAGGGCCAGGCTGCAGGGGACGGGGACAGACCGGGACAGGGCTGAGCCCAGAAGGGCTCTGGGGTGTATCTGCAGGCCGGGGAATATCTTGCTGGGAGCTGCCTCTCAGCTGAGTCTGGGCATGGGCGGAAGTGGAGCTGGGCCCTGAACAGCCCCTCAGGAGGCAAAACTGAGTGATGTGTCTAGAATGTTCTGCTGGCCTCAGCCTCTCGAATTCCTCCCCTGGACATGGCCCTGAGCAGCCTGTGTGGACACGGGTCTGATATCCAGGAGGTTTCAGTCATGTTCAGCCAGGGGGAGCCCCAGGGGACAGGGGAGCAGGAGGAGAGCCTGGGGGGGGGGTGACTGTCCCAGGTGCGGGTGCCATGAGGGCACAGCTTCTGCCACCAGCCTGCCCATGAGGCCCTCTTTATCCTGAGCCATCACAGCCTTGGTTTACCCGCTGACACAGGCCTTGCCTGAAGGTTCTGGAAAGCCCCAGTCCCTTCTCCCTTCCCCGCAGCCTGCTGTCCTGGCGGGTGACCTTTGTCCACAAGTCCCTGAAGGACCCCAGGGTCTCAGACCCGTTTCTTGCCCGCATCCGGCAGAGCCCCAGGGCCTGCGAGGTCCAGCTGCTGGCACTTACCGTGAAGCTGATGCCCACAGTGGCCGAGAAGGAGCCTGGGAGGAACTTGCCCTGGTCGAACTGCACCAGCAGCGACGTCTTCCCCACGCCACTGTCACCCACCAGGATAGTCTGCAAGGGAGCAGAGAGAAGGTGAGGGGTGCGTGGGAGGGGGGCCCGGGGGCTGGGGAGGGGTTCCAGCTGAGCACACGTACCTTCATACACATACACCAGCACACACACCTGCACACACACCTACACACACTTGCACACATGTATGCACATTCCTACACACACCCACACATGCACACACCTACACACCACCCCACCTACACACTATACAAACCCACACACACCTACACATGTGTACACACACCTGCACACACTCACACACCTGTACACACATACCTGCACACACACATACGCCTACACACACACACACTTGCTGCACATGCGTCCCTGCACGCATTGTTCTGGCATTGGGCAGTAGGTGCATATTTGAAGCCCAGCTTCCTACGGGCAAGTTCCTGCCCCAGGTGCAGTGGGAGGGACTAAGGGTCTGAGGCAGGCCTGTGGCAGGGAGACACAGGCCTCCTGTCCTCTCTGTCTCTCTGCTATATCTGTCTCTGTCTCTGTCTCTGTCTCTCTCTCTCTCACACATACACACATGCTCTCTGGACTCTCTCCTCTCTTCCCAGACCTCCAGGATCAGGTAGGGCAGTGTGCCTAGCCATGGGGCCACTCAGGGCCAGCCAGGGGCAGGACCAGGCAGGGCCCAGATACTCTGGAGAGCTCAGGGTCAAGGAGGGCTCAGACACCCAGGTAGTGAAAAGGAGCTGAGCACAGGAGTCTCACGCATGCATAAGGGGCCATGGCCGGAGACTAGGAAAGCCGGGACAGGACGACAGGAACTACTGAGTACAGCTCGGGGGCCCAGCAGCAGATCAGGGCTCAGGGACAGGGCCTGGTCATTGCTCACGGGAGGCGAGTAGACTGCATGGGATAGGACAGAGAAATCATTCACAGGACCGGGCAGCATCAGGGACAGGACTGGTGATGTCGTTCACGGGTAAAGGAGAGGCCTGGACACCTGGGGACGAACCTGGACCCATTTACCTTTTCTGTACAATAAACTAACTCTCCATCTTCCAAGTTTTGTGTGTGAATTTTTTTCTTTTTGGGTCACACCCTGATGCTCAGGGCTAACTCCCAGCTCTGCATCAGGAATTACTCCTGGCGGTGCTCAGAGGACCCTATGGGATTCTGGGAATTGAACCCGGGTCAGCCGCGTGCAAGGCAAATGCCCTACCTGCTGTGCTATCGCTCCGGCCCTTGTGTGTGAATCATATAATTCTCATACAATTTTTCATACAATTCTCAAAAACCCACTAGTGCAGGGAAATCCACTTTTGCACTAACATGGGGAACCACAGCGGGTGGCGGGGGTCTGTGGGGCCAGAGGCTGAGCAGCTCAGGTGAGGGCAGACCCCCGTCTGTTGGGACAGGAGCAGAAGAGGACCCCGCAACCCCAGCCTTGCCTCTCTCTTCCCCAGCCCCCCAGCCCCCACTCCCGTGTGAAGGTCGCTGGCTCTGGGGACTGGACAGCCCTCCCGCAGGCTCTGTCATGGGTCAGGTCAAATGCAGAGGTGCTGGCCACATCCTGTGGGTGACCCATGACAACTCTGCGGGTCTCTGCACCCACCACAGCCTGTGCTCGTCCTGCTGAGGCCTGAGGGGCTCACATCCCTCCAGGGTCTCTGTTTCCCAACCGGCACAGGCTGTGGGGGCTCATGCTTGGGACCAAACAGGAGAAAAGCCCGTTCCTGTCAGCCCACTGTGCCTCACCAGGGTGGGGGGATAGTTGAGGCATGTAGGATGGGCCTTGTCTTCCACAGCAGACAGTATGAGGGGCACAGAGAAAGGGGGCGCCACGAGCACACAGCCGCTTCTCTAGGAAGGACCCTGACAAGTTTTGGGGGGATTCAGAGCACAGAGAAGAGGCTTGCCCTGAAATGGGCCTGTCGGGCAAATTTCCAGGATGGACACCCCCATACATGGCCATTGCCGTGCCTGGAACTCCCTTCCCTGGACGTCCTTCCCTGCAGTGAGCATTTGACCCCCCAGACCCTTCCTTCCACTCATGGGCAGGTACCCTGGTCTTTTGCATTGGGAGCACAATTTAGTTGACTGCCTGGACCCCAAGTATTGGCTCCCCTGAAACCTGGGTATAGGGCACTGTGTCGGGGTCCACCATGGCAGGGAGTCTGCACGGAAAGGAGGGTCTGTGCATCCCCCCAGCCCCGGGACGGGCCCCGAGCTCTCCCTTCAGAGAACTGTTGAGGATTCACAGGGCCAATTTCTCAAAAGCGGGTCCCTGATTTCCCCACATTGTTCAGGGCCTTGAAATTTCCCCTGGTAGTGGCCTCCTTCCTCTTTTACTACGATGCAGGAGTAGGGAGTGGCTGAAGGAGGAAGTCAGGAGGGTGAGGGAGATTCAGAGACAGAGAGAGCAGAAGGAGGAAGGTGAGGGGCTCTGTCTATCCACTGGCTGTGCCCACATCCCGGCCCCAGGTGAGAGGATGCGGCCACTCGTGCTCCTGCTCCTCCTCTGCGACCTCTCAGGTGAGTCGGGCCTGGCCCGGGAGAAGGGGCCCTGCCTGGGGTCCCGCTGGGCCCACCCCAGTTCACCAGGAGCCCCCAAGGCTGAGCTGGAGTTGCAGCCAAAGGTGCCCAGGTTAGGGTGGCCCATAGCAGGGGGGGACTGTCCCCAGTGCAGTGGGCTCTTAAGGGTCAGCTGTGGAGCTGGGGGTGGGAGCAGTAGAAGGACCTCCTCAGAGCAGAGCTCCTGACCCCAGCGGGTGGCCCCAGTGGACAGGGAGGCCCCAGATCAGGTTTAGACAGCAGTGGAGCAGTGCACAGAACCAGCGGCCAGTCCTGTTTTTCTGTCCCCAGGGGTGTGGGGACCCTGGAAGGAGGAAGGTGCAGGAAGGAAAGCGGGGAAGGGCCAAGGGCCTGGGAACAACTGAGGTGGGTCCAGATGGTCCTCAGGATGGGTTCCTCTAATGAGCTCAGGGGTTTCTGGGCTTTCTCTGTGTCTTCTCGTGGTGGTGGGGAGGGAGCCCGGGCCCAGCAGGCAGGTGGGTGCCAGCCCTAAAGTGATCCGGAAGCACTTGGGCCTTATTCCTTGACCTTCCCTCTTCAGACACCTCTCTCACCTGCTCTCTTTGCTTAAGAAAAAACTGTGTCTCTGCAGATGACTCCGAGTGTTATTTTTGGTCATACCCAGTAGTATGTAGGATGTGGGACATACTTGGAGCCAGGGGTCAGCAGGCTCCCGCACGTAAAGCTTGCATGCCAACCCTTTGAATCAGCTCCCCCTGACGGCATGCTAATTTATCCTGTCCCGGACACCTCCCTGGGCTCCAGAATCTTCTACTTAACTTTCCATCCAACATGCACATGCGATCTGGCCACATCTTCTCCCCACAATTCCTCCCCTCCCATTTTTCTTCCTTGGTTTTTAGTCCCAGTGGGGCTCAGGGGCCACTCCTTGCTCTGTGCTCAAGTCTCGTTTTTGGCGATGTCTGGGAGAACCACAGGTGGTGCCAGGGATGGAACTGACAATCCATTGTACCAGGTAGCCCCAGGGGTTTGTTTGTTTTGGAGCCACTGGCAGTGCTCAGGGGACCATGCACTCTTTTTTTTTTTTCTTTTTGGGTCACACAGGGGTTACTCCTGGCTCTGCACTCAGTAATTACTCCTGGCATTGCTCGGGGGACAGTATGGGATGCCAGGAATTGAACCTGGGTTGGCTGCGTGCAAGGCAAAAGCCCTGCCCGCTGTGCTATAACTCCAAGGGACTGTGCACTCTTTTTTTTTTTGTTTCCCTCTCATCACCTCCCCACCCCAAAAGTTTAATTTTAATTTTATTTTTGCTTTTTTTTGGAGGGGTCACACCAGGCAATGCATAGGGGTTACTCCTGGCTCATATACTCGGGCGTTACTCTGGGGACCATAAGGGATGCTGGGAATTGAAACCAGGTTGGCCACGTGCAAGGCAAACGCACTACTTGCTGTGCTATTGCTCCAGCCCCGGGACTGTGCACTCTTGAGGGATTGAACCCTGGGCCTCCTAAAGTCAAAACCTGTGCTTGTCTGGCCCTTTGGGCAATCTCTCTGGTCTCATCTGAAGTTCCTTTTTTTTTTTTGGGACACACCCGGGATTTCACAGGGGTTACTCCTGGCTCTGCACTCAGTAATTACTCCTGGCGGTGCTCAGAGGACCATATGGGATGCTGGGAATCAAACCCGGGTTGGCCGCGTGCAAGGCAAATGCCCTACCCACTGTGCTATCCGCTCCAGCCCCTGAAGTTCCTTTTTATGGTTGTTTTTTGTTTTGGGCCACAGCTGGTGATGCTCAGACCTTACACCTGGCTCTGCACTCAGGGAACACTCCTGGCAGTGCTTGGGACCCTACAGGATGACAGGGATCAAACCTGGCTTGGTCACATGCAAGGCAAACACCTTACCCACTGTACTATCACTGCCCACCCCTGCCTGCTCATCTGAGATTCCCGACATCATTAAATGGAATTCTCACATGACCCACAATTCCATTTCTTGGTATAGGCCCCCAACGAATGAAAAACATTTGCCCACGTCAACAATTGTTTTCCCGGCCTCCTGAATTCTGAAATCACCTGCAACCCCATTTGGGCTATTAGCAAAAATCTCTTCCTTTGCATTATTCTCTCTATATTTCCTAAGGGGCTGGAGCAATAGCACAGAGGGTAGGGTGTTTGCCTTGCACACGGCTGACCTGGGTTCGATCCCCAGCATTCCATATGGTTCCCCAGCACCACCAGGAGCGATTCCTGAATGTACAGCCAGGAGTAACCCCTGAGTCTCACTGGGTGTGACCCAAAAAGCAAAAATAAATAAATATTTCCTAAGTAAAACTAGTTACTTTACTTAAAAAAAAAAAGTGATGGTAAGCCCTGAGAGCTTCCAGGTGTGGCCCCAAGACACACAAAAAAAAAACAAAACAGTTAAACTGTAGTGTTCATAGCAACGGGATTCATCTTGGCCCCAAGCAGACACCCCAGGTTGTATTGTGCATTGGCTGGAGCTGA